CTTGTTTTTCTTGTTCTTCTTGTTCTTCTTGTTCTTCTTGTTCTTGTTCTTCGTTTTCTCCTTCTTCTTCAAATAAACGGCAAGTTAAAGGCGTTCATTGGGCAGCGTTTAAAATGCATAAATATAAAAGATAATTCAAAGAAAAGATTATATTGTTCCAAATGATTATTGAATGACACCTAGATTTTTTAGGTGTCTGTTTGAAGTATAAAAATCAAATTATGATCTTTTTGATTAAAAAATGATCAAGCAAAATGTTCTTTTTTGCTTTCTTTCTTGTAACTTTTCTTCTTTCCTTTTTTTGTTTTCTTTCTTTGTCTTTTTCTTTCTCGAATTTTCGATTTTGCTCGATATTAGTGGACATCTGCTCATGGATGGATGTATTCATGTACATATGGCGGGCTAGCTTTGTCATATATACGCATGGACGTATTTATGCACCGGCATATGTATCAAATATACATAGGTTTCTTCCACTTTATTGAGTGATATCTGAATTCGAGGGAAATAACAGAATGCTAAAAAATGTCTAATTTTCTAGAGTATTTATAACGATGTTTCCTTCTTTCTTTCTTTCTTTCTTCCTTTTCTTTACTTTATTTTTCTTTTTTTCAAATGGCCTAAAAAGTAGCAAATATATTTATAYTTTAAGTACTAAATTCTTTTTTCTTTTGGTCGATATGACAAGTCGATTCAAGGGATATCACACATAAACTATAGATAATTTTAATTTTTTTAGGAGTAAGGGAACAAAACAAACAAACAAACAAATTTGCTAACGATGTTAACAAATACTCATTTCAAACCGATAACTTCCTTAATTTATTTTGCTCCAGTATCTGATGTGATCGCGTTTTGTTTTTCGGTTACCGCTGCCGCAGTAGTAGTGATCACCAAAAGGTCATGGCTGTTTATATGAATTCATATTATCGGCTTCGTATCTCGATAAACTGCCAGCTTTTGTATCACTCTCGTCAATATAATGAACCATCTATTTGCGAAGCTAGAAATCATATAACAGTAAATACATTTGAGGGTTATTCCAAATTATAAAGTATTTTCAAATTTTCAAATAAAAATATTATATCTGATTTTTTTTTTTTTGTTTGTTAAATATTGAAACGGGTGGCAAAACTTCCTCTTTCATCCACCGCCAGTCAGACTCCACTGCGAGAGCGTTTGCGTAATGTTAATTGTAGGTACCTTTAAGAAATACATTGAATACCTTAGTATGAAAATAGAAGACTGACTGTAAATCAAATTGAAGCAAAAATAGAGCGTTGGTAATTTTGAAAATCAATTTTAGTGCATGTATACTGTTTTGAGCTCCTAAAAAAGTCAACATGTCGAGTGAAGGCGGCGTTGGAGTATAAGAATAACTATTAGTAAAACTGGCGACTGATTATCTCATGATCTTCGTCTGCTTCAACATTATTTATTGGTCGTTTGTCGCCCCACCATCCACTCCCACACCCATAAGAATTTCACTGATAAACTTTTTTTGTAGAGTAATAAGAATTTCTTGATATTCATTTGATAATACTATCAACAATCACTGATCGCCATTTTCCCTTCAACCTTTTTTGAAATATCTGTATAAATTACAGCAGATGACATTTTTCTTGATACGTTATCCTCAACCACTGTTCTCTTTTCCACTTCCAGATTGATATTTACCGAGAGCAAGCCAGGAAACAAAGTATATGTCGAGCAGCAAGACAACTTGGATGTGACCTAGGACCTCACCCGATGTCAGATGCACGGCAATAAATATTTTTCTGGATTTAAAGAATATGAAAAGAACTCGCGAAATGATATATTTTATCAACTAATGAATAATTTGTAGACACTGATGTAACTTAAACACGTAGCCGACGAGCTTGCTCATTGATAGCATAAGAAGAAATTCATATGCGTTGGTTACTAAGAGCACCTAAATAAACCAAATTCTTTATTTAGTTACCTCAAAGATGATAAAATAAAGTTGTTATCAGATGAATATTATTGTGTTTAAAAGGGAAATACATACGGGAAAGTGCACTCGCCTCTTTCCAGTACAACGTACCTACCTGCAAAAAACGCTTCCCAAATCGAAAGTCATATACGACATGTATGACACGTGCAGGCACAATTAAACTAAAGCGTTTCTCCTGTTGGGTCCCTCCCGCGCTTCACCATTTTTTACTTTGCTGGGGGGTTTCACTCTTCCTCACATTTCATCCAAAAATTAACATTTCGAAATTCCAAACGTATTTGGTGGAAATATATAAGTATTATACTGAACTTTGATCATAAATTTGATCATTTCTAAATTTTTTATGATAGGTTAATGTGTCTTCTCTAATTCCCCCATCCCCCCCCCCCCCCAAAAAACTTTAAGACCATGCCATTTTACGAAAGAAAAACAAAAAACAAAAAACAAAATGGTGAAACTTTGAATAAACCTTTAAAAGTCAATTGACCGAGGCCTTATCTAAATTCTTATTCCCTGTTATACAAGAATTCTCCTCCACGAAAACATGCAAAAACTAGATAGTTAAACAGCTTGTAATCGAAGCCGGAAAAAAAGTGCGCGCAGTGCCGGCTTTTGGCGATGTTGGCGATGTTGTGATACTATCTGAAACAGCCGTTTAAACCTGGTTTTACTCGACACTATATAAATACAATGAAAGTGTTACTTTTGCACCAATGCTTCATTGAAGAAACGACCATTGTAGAAAAATAATCTGCTGCCAGAAGGAAAACTTAACATGTTTAAAGTTCTACTTTTTTCCCTCGCTGTCGTTGTCATCACCACACGGCACACAGCACACAGCACTCTTGGTTTGTGTCGCCAGTGCAAATCATGTTGCTATGGCAGGAAGAGGGAAAGTGTAAACCCAAGAAATGTAAGTTCTTTATAAAATACGAACAGAGTGTAGGTTAATTAAGCGTCACATATGAATTACCGTCAATGGACGAGCAGTCTCTAATTCTAATACGACCTTTGCATGATGGCGTCATTCACTTCCACCACCAGACTCCCTTGTACACTTTCTTTTGCTCACTTAATTAGATACTATTCTCACGAGGGAATAAACATTGGATTAAGAAAGAACATTCGCGAAGCATCTTAGTAGTGGGAGTCGATTGACGCCATCATGCAAACGTCCTATTCGGGCTTAATTGTGAGATAATTTACGAGAAACCAGATGTCGGTCAAAAGATTTCATAAAATTGAGATGTCGAGCTGTTTTACGTGTCTGCATAAAATATGTATAAAAAGCTCTTTTTTATTTTACTAGTCATGCTATTGTTGCTACCACATAATTTACATATGTTTTTTAGTCGCGATTCATTTCCTTAACTTAAATAACATTTCATTCAGGTAAATTCTCATCATTTCTACAATATTTTAAAACTAAATTCAACTAAAAAAGTAAATTGTCATGAAATTCTTATGGCACCTGTTAACATCAATTTTTTTGACCATTTCGTGCAGGAATTAAAAATCACTTATTTCTGTCCATATTAGGAAGCAGGTGTTGCAGAGTCATACAAGAACCAGAGGCGTGTATTTCTTAAAGAAAGGCTCAACAACGTGGCTCAAGGCTATAGGAATAATTGAATTCTAAGAAGGTTATAACGGGAAACTGATGGAAAGACTCTAGTAAAGAYCATAATGTCGCAAAGTTTAGTTTGAAAGTAATGGAAAAAACTAAAATAACTGTTGTAATATATTTACTTCCAGGTAATACATATATATTAAAACTAAAACTGTAAATTTACTTCCAGGTATGCATATATTAAAACTGAAACTGTAATATCAAGATTGCTGTTCAGAGTAGTTGATAGTAGAATAAATACATTGCTAGAAATCCGCTACAGTCAGCGGTCTGACGTAAACACGCGGGCTCAAGATTTACGCATGCGTAGACAGAAATTCAAAATGTATTTTGTTGATGCTGACAATTTTGTGCCATTCTTTGAGAATTGGATAAGGTATTTTAACAGGAAAGAGTGGGTTTCTTTCATGAGATCTCTTTGTATAACTTAGTTCAGGCTCAGTGACCTGCAATTTTTCTTTATATTTGAGTAATGATGCGATTACTTCGTCCGACATTTTTTATAAATTTTCGAAAAATGCCGCGAAATCTTCTACCACAGGGCTCACACTAGTTTTTAGCTAGTTATATCTTTTTACCACAGGGATCCTTTTATATTAAAGGGGAGGCTACTAAGCTCAAAACAGTCTTCTAATAGCGGAAAAGAAAGCTAGTGTAGAATCCTACAAAGTTATCACTATTTTTTACTCTGCAAGATGGACTTGGACCTTTAAATTTTAGAATCCACTAGAGAAGATAATTATAGTTTTTACAAGGCGAAAGGAACCAATTCAAACGGCGTTAAACCATCTTTTTTTGGGAAAGAAATCGGGCTTATTATGTGTTCTTGAGGATAAGACTTGTGGACATCAAAACTCCGAAAGATAGCACAGTCTTATGAAGACGTTAGCACTCCGAAGTGGCAGTGAAGTAGGAGAATAACTATGGCAGCCGATACCTTTATTGTTGTCTATTTTCATTTGAATTTGGAACCGGTTTCTAACTGCAGGACTGCATATACATGTATTCTATTGTTTTATTATTGCCAAAGCACCTATCTAAGATTTAGAACTTGTGGATTGAGTGGAACAACAATCAAGGAAAAGAAAGGAAATCAAGTAAATGTGAGTACAATTTCTTGTATTTCAGTGCTCATCCTACACTGAAATTAAAGTCGATGAAATAGAAAATGCGCATGCGTCGCGCCATGTTGTAGCGGATTTCTAGCAATGAAAAGAGTGGCCAAAAGTCAATTGACCCTTCGTGATGTTTTGCCCAATATACACCACGTGTAATTTCCTAGAGTATTATTTCTTTGTTTAACAGATGCACATGAGAAGACACATGAATATGCTTACAACTCCAACAAAGAATATAATAAGAGAATGACACGTGGTCTGAAATTAGACAAAACATCACCTCCAAGGTAAAGAGGCTTATTGTAGCCGAGTAGGGCAATGAGGGCAACTGCCTTGTTCCATGCAAACAACCCCAAACGTAGGCCGATTAATGCGCATCATGTTCCTCTAATTTCTTCAGGGGTTTGGCATTTGGTCACTTGATTAAATGATTCAATGGCTTGTTGAGCCATCTATAAGTATACCCAATCTGAGCGGTTATTGCAGAAAATGTCGAAAAACAAATTATAACACTCTTTTCACTCGAACACTCCAATGTTCAAGAAATTGGGAAAGATACTCAAGTGAGCATCATGAAGACACACTGCCTCCTAATATTCATGCTATTTTTCTCCGTGCTGATGATATCTTCTTCGTGGATTGTGGATGGTTATTATAGGTCTCATTCATGCCCGCCTACAATAACATAACGAGTCAAATGTAACAGGGAAATCCCCTAATTCATCTCATTGTTATGAGAGAGAAAATTAATTCTTTAAGGATTGAGTATTATTGATTCGTTGTCTTTGAAATGATTTCTATTTTTTAACTAGCTTTTGTTTAAGCATTTAAGGACATATATTCTGTGAGCTCCTTTCTGTCAGAGCCTTGTTTTTAGCTTAATCAAAGGTCGCCATCAAAAGCCGCCATCAAAAGCCGCCATCAAAAGCGTGCCGGATTGCAATCATAATACAATAACAACAAACTAATAACTACTTTGTGTAATTACTTCATCTTGACTTTATTTTAATTACAGTTACCAGTACATCTAGTACAATATCTTGTTACCATAATCCCCATTTATGGTCAGTAAAATCAAAGCCTCTTAAAATAAAATTCATATCATCTCGAGAAAACTAGGGGTTTCCTATTTTTTCTTTCCCACTATAACCCTATATTTTCTAACATTCAGTTGGAATCCCTTCCTGGTACCGTAATTATTGGTTGTAAATTTAAGTAGCATTTGTCCTGTGGTTGACTGAGGTGGCTTGATGTAAGGCCATTCATCTTCAAACTCAAAAATCTTGTTGGCGTCTACGAAAAGAATAAAAATATATAAGTAATAAATATTGCACACACACAGGACAGTAAATAAAAAGTCTACATAAATGGACAAAAGCTAAAAATGTCAATTCAGGTTATATTGGTTATAATGGCATTCGGACTCCAATGATTAGAATTCAATTCAGTCGGTTCTGTACCATGACCTTACCATTGTTCTGTGATTGTTCACAGAGGTAAAACAAGCTTGCGCTCTTTGTACTAGTGCATGTCCTTATGCAAAACCTAAACTCCAATTCCGTCTGTGAGTTCTTTGTGACTTTGATCAACCCAGAGGCTGTTTCAGGGTTTGATCTGTAAGTTAGCCACGCCCTGACTTTGATCAGCTCAGAGGCTGTTTCAGGGTTTGATCTGTGAGTTAGCCACACCCTGACTTTGATCAGCTCAGAGGCTGTTTCAGGGTTCCATATGTGAGTCAGTCATTCCTTGACTTAGATCAGCTCAGAGGCTGTTTCAGTGTTCAATCTGTGAGTCAGCAGTGCGCTGACTTTGATCAGCTGTTTCAAGGTATTGTTAAAATATTCCAAAGTAATGGGTACTACGCACCTGTGAAAGACATCAGAGAGTCGTATCCCTCAAGGTAGTCATAGCTAGTCTCAGTGTTGAACGAATCAAACTCAAGCTGGAAAGCATGTCCAAGGTTGATGGCCCAGATACACGTGACACCATTTGGATAATTATTAGGATAGTTAGGAGAATGGATGGTGGTGTCAAGCTTGGTTATTAGACCTCCACAAGCTGTAGAAAATTACACATATATATTTTTAGGTGATGTTCCATGCACATGATAACCAATTCCTAAGTGCTAAAAAAAAGACCCAAATACAGCCAATCCACTGCAAATAACTTATTCAACTGTTTGGAATGATAACACCTTGAAGGACTACAGTATTTGCTGGATTGCAGTTCATATGAGATATAACTCGGGGGACTAGAAGCGAACCCCTTGGAGAGGAAATTGATCATGAAAACTTTCCCACCTAATTTGCGGTCCGTTTACTTACAGACTGGAGAATATGTAGCTTCAAATCCCATCGCTACTTCCTTTGAATCGGAATAAAATTTCACATCCATGACGTTGGAGCTTGAGGTTAAAGAGAATGGTTTGGTATGGACTCCCGATAATTTGGTGATAAGCTCTCCGGAAACGCCATCGTAAATCTCGACAAAATCTTTTCCTGGCTGCGTCTTGAAGCTGTTAAATGTGATCATGACTTTTCTGTCAGAGCGCACGGTGATTTTCCAGCGACAGTACTGGTTGTTGTCGTAACTGTTGGGGAAGTTAGTGGAAGAAAACCTTCCTGTAGGTCCAACCAGGAGAGCTCCACAGTTCGTAGCTACAATTACAAAAAGATCATTAGGATTTGCCTAATAGACCATTCTAGCTTGGAAGTAGTGTTTTCCCATTTTAGACCTCGTGTCATTCTCTTGAGATTACGATTCTTTGTTTGAGTTTTATCATTATTCATGTGTTTTCTCATTCGAAAAAATAAAACAAAGAAATGATACTCTAGAGAAGGACACATGGTCTGAAATGGGCAAAGCAAATACGCACAAGTTAAAGAAAGCTAGAGAAAGAAACGCTGCCAAAAGTTAAACCAATCTTAACAAAATAAGTACGTGAAAATTTCTTTGTCTAAAACTAGACTACACAGTGCCAACCGGTTTTGTTATGGCTTCAGTAGTTTGCAATTTCACTAAAACTATCTGCTCTCAGTATAAAACTAGTTGAATCCAAACAGCACAATACTTAGTTTACTAATAATAACATCTTACGTTGACAACTCGGCTGAACTCCACTCCACTGTCCATCTAGATTACATATTCGTTCTCTTGTCCCAACAAGCTTGAATCCGGGATTACAATCAAAACGAAGCTTCTGTTTGTATGTGTACTTAGAGCCAGACACTTCACCACTGCTGGGGACACCAGGATTACCACAGCTAATTGCTGGAATTGTCAATTTTTTTAAGTAAGATGTTCTTGATTTGATCCGGCACTTGTAATATGAATGCTATATAGAGCGTTCTCACATGATGTCACAGCCATCATATTGATGTACCTTTGACAATGACTTTGTCATTAGTTTCTTTTGTTAGGTACACCAATATGGTTGCCATATCTATTGTCAGACATGACGTCACAGCCGCCATATTGGTGCACTTTGACAATGACTTTGCATTAGTTTCTTTTGTTAGGTACACCAATATAGCTGCCATCTCTATTGTTAGTCAATTCTCTAGGTAGGGAGTCAGAGAAAACGCTCTATTAGATGACACTTAGATGGCACATTTCATTTTTCCTTCAGGACATGAAGGGCTACTGAGAGTATGATTATATATTAGTGCTATATTCGTAGTGCAACAGACATTGGGCCAGAAATGAGTAGATTTCTCTGTTTATGTAAAGCTTTGGAATCAAGTTTTGGATTGGAATGGAATAAGTACGCAGCTTTTAATAATATATTTAAATACATACCGTTGCAAGTAGTTTGTGTTCCGGTCCATTTTCCATTGGTTTGGCAAGTCCTTGATGCTGAACCGCCGAGGACAAAGCCCTTGTTACAAGTGAATGTAACTGTTTTACCATAAGTAAAATCATTACCAGTCATAACTCCGTTATCGAGTGTGCCAGGGTTTCCACAAGATCGCTCTGTCAGAAACAAATATCCTATCAGTTTGATCTGTTCGTTACAGCAAAAATAACAACAATCAGAATAGGATCCTTATTGTATTTTAAGGGACCGTACAGACCTAAGCAAACCGGCTCTTTGTCGCTCCATACTCCATTACGTCCACAAACTCTTTCCTGGGGTCCAGACAAATGGAAATCCTTGTTGCAAGAGTATTGAATCTTAGAACCGTAAGTGTAGGCAGTTCCGGTTATAACGCCGTTGGAGAGAGCTGGTGGTGTTCCACAATCAACAACTGCAAGGAAACGTAAAAACAAAATAGCATATGGAAAACATATGTAATTAAATATGAATGTTCAAACGTGTTCGATTCCAAATGTGCGCCCGAGAAAAAAACCCCTAGATACACTTTATTAGACTTCTTTATCACTTAATTTTCATAGAACATCTTGCACCTACGTCTACATGTTGGTGTTGGATGCGTCCACTTTCCATTGCTCTGACAAACAGCGTACGATGATCCATCGACTTTGTATCCCTCTATGCATTCGAATCTAACAGTGTCCCCAGAGCCTCTTTGTAGACCTACGACCTGGCCTCTAGCTGGTGCTGAAGGTTCTGGACACGTAGCGGCTGTTACAATAAAAATAACGGTGAGAATGTAAGGTGACTAAAAAAAAAGAAGTAGACAGAGGGACCTGACTAGCTGTTTGAAGTTCCAGACTACGTCTAAGTATCCGTCTGCTACATTACAGAACACTTAAAGCCACAAACCATCACCTCAAAAGTCAATCAGCGTCATGCACTACACTACTCTATGCATCACGTTGGGCCACACCACGACATAAACAATGCAACACATTGCTCTATAATAAGGCACCATACTATTCATACCATGCAATTGAAGTGTTGAAGCGCTCACTGTAGCTGCTTATGAGTTAGCTCTTTTTTTTACCAAACTTACTTAGGTTATATCAGATTTTTTATTCCTAACTTTTTTATAAGTACATTGTCGTTTGGAATATGATTTTTTATTCAAGAAGTTTCCTTTTATTGCAGTGTTTGTGGTGGAAGTCTTTGGGTGGTGGATTTCAAACTTCCCGCCATTGTTCAGCGATATGTCATCATCCATCTGGATTTCCTTTGGATTCAACTACATGGAATATTCCTTATGTTCCTCAGGTTGGTAAATCTTCTAAATTATGTCTTTTGAATACAAGATCAATATGCAATAAAGCTTTAATACTGAAAGATTTTGTTGTTGAAAATAACATTGAATGTTAATGTATATCTGAAACTTGGCTAAAGTCAAATGATCAACTTATTATAAATGAAATAACACCAACAGGCTATTTATTCCAACATGATGCTAGAAAAGGCAGAGGAGGTGGTGTTGGTCTGTTGTATAGGAAGTCTTTGAGAATGCAGAAAATGTCTTTTAATAAGTTTAAATCTTTTGAAGTCATGGGAATGACTGTACAATCTTCTCCCGGATACATTTCTATTTTTGTTGTTTATAGACCACCTCCTTCCAGTGGCAACAATTTCACTAATAAAATGTTTTAAAGGAGTTTTCTACTTTTTTAGAACAATGTTCAACAGACTCAGGCTCACTTCTTTTAGTTGGGGATTTTAATTTTCATGTGGAGGACAATTCTAATGTAGCTGCTCTTCAGTTTCTAAATATTTCAGAATGTTTTAACCTGACTCAACATGTCAGGCATGCTACATATCAAGGAAATCATATTCTCGATCTTCTGATTACCAGGGCTGATGATCATGTCATTGACCATGTCTCTGTTTTTGATCCAGCTATTTCAGACCACTCTGCTGTTTTTTTGTGATCGATCTTTTGATAAAGAAGCCACCCTTTGGAAAAAATCGTTTCTATATGCCGCAAATTAAAAGCTATTAATCTTGATTGTTTTTCAAATGATGTCGCTGAGTCACTTTTGATTACCTCTCCACAAACTGATCTTGTTGGGCTACTTCATCAATATGAGTCTGTACTCAGTAGTGTACTAGACCATCATGCACCATCTAAAAAGCGTATAATAACTTTGCATCCATCTGCCCCCTGGTACACCGACGAAATCAAGGCCGAGAAAATAAAACGGAGGCATCTGGAAAGAGCTTGGAGGAAATTTCGTCTGACTATAGACCGTCAGTTGTATGTGGATCAGTGTAATGTAGTTAGAGCTCTTATTAAAACAACTAAAAATGAATTTTATTCCAACATTATCTCCGAACATCAGTACAATCAAAAAGTTCTTTTTCCATTATCATTATTATTATGTTGCAAAGGTACCACACGCCATACAACAGTATACTTCAACTGCATGTACAACGTACGCGCTGCTAATGTGTCATTTCAAGTTGAGGATCATTTATTTGCGGGTTCTCTGCATGTTTTTTCCTCCCTCCTCAAAAAACAACTTCTAAATTCTAATTTGATCTACCGTCTGCCTCGATTAAGTGCGTTGAGCGGTAAATCCTATCTATTATATTATTAATAGTCAAATTGTTTGTACTCAATAATGACTCACCAATACATACTGGCTGCTCGCCAGACCATTCTCCGTTTGCACCACATGTACGCTTTGCCGAGGGAACGAGGCTGAATCCACTCTTACAGCTGTAGGTTGCTACACTACCATAGTTCAAATGCGGCTGCTGCACGTAACCGTTCAATGGAGCCTTTGTAGATATGCATTGAACCTCTGTTATACAGAGAGAGGATAATTAACATGGTTGTCAGTTCAAATTTACTATCAATAGCTAGACGGGATCATGAAGAAGGTGTTTCAAACTACAAAACGTTTGCCCATGCTCTAAGTTCTTATGCAAGTTAGTCGAAACGTCTTCTGATATTGTAATGATAGAAGCTTAGAAAATAGTAGCTTCAAAGTATACCGTAATCCTGAAATGTTTATAGCGACAAAACAATAAAAAAGAGAGAGTATAGGATAGTTTACTTACTGACACAAGAGGGCTGTGACCCAGACCATCGATTATCAGACATGCAGGTCCTTAAAGACGAACCGACGAGTTTGTATCCATCATTACACTCAAAGCGTAGGACACTTCCCAGAGCAGTTAGATCTCTGTTGGGAACTCGCTTTCCTTGAGATGGAGCGGTTAGACGAGGACATGACTGAGCTAAAACGAAATATTGTTGTGAAGAATTTAGAACTAAGACATTTTCAAATAAATAAGTTTGCAAGTTTGATCTGAAGACAACCGCGTTTTCGCTGTACATTGGTAATGCTCAAACCCCATTACTTTTTTAACTACCTTTGCAAGTTCTGCCATCTGAATTAAGAACGTAGCCTTTGTTACATTCACATCTGAATGAAGCTAGCTGATTAACACAAATTTGTTGGCATGGACCGCGTCCCTGATTGGTGGAGCATTCGTTTGTATCTACAATATTGGAATGCACTCGGTTAGATTGGAAAAGAGTAATTAAGGGAAGGAAGGAAAAAAGGAAAAAAAGAAGGAAGAACGGGAGGGATGGAAAAAGGGAGAGAAAGAGAAAAGGGCGAGAAAGTGAGGAAGTTTGAAGGTAATGAAAAATGGATGGAATACATTACAGTGATAAGAAATAGACGTACCTTGACAGGATTGGCCGTCTGGAAGGAGAGTATATCCTGTTCTACAAGAACATCTATAGCTTCCAGCACTGTTGTGACAACTATGCTGACAGTTACCGTTGTTTACACTGCACTCATTGATATCTAGCATAAATGATCAACAAAATAATGAATTATTCATGGTGAGCAGTCAAGATGTATAGAATATTAACAGCATGCAAAAAGTTAAGTTTACACTCCCTCTGGGACCAAAAAAGTTACCTTGGCAAGTTCTTCCATCACTTCGAAGAGCATATCCTTTTGCACAGGTGCATTTGTATCCTCCGTCAAAATTGACACACGAATGCTGGCATATGTTCTGAGAACACTCGTCAATGTCTGTGTCAAAAAATTAAAATATTAAAAAGCCTTTCTTTTCAAAATTGCATTTGATCAAACAATTATTCTTGAACATTAATTTCTTCTGTAAACTTTATTCATTGAACTTACTTTGTAGGATCCTTGCCTAGTTTAGTAGTATCTTATCCTTGAATTGTACCTCAATCACGTTCTGAGACAACTAAACTTCTAGTAATCGTAAAACTTTTCCAGCTAAACTGACCTTCGAAACAAGGTCTAGGCGAACGAATCAGAAATGAGAATTCGGCAAAGTATTTTGATTAGCATTTCCCATGAACTTATGGTGGAATTTCAATCGACAAAAGAAATCTATATTGTACTTAGTCCATGCATGAAAAAATCCTAAAAATAGTTGAGTCCATAATTTCTTTCAGGGAATGCGGTCAACTGAGCCTGTCAGTGGTGGATTAACAAATTGAATCTCACTAACCTTTACAAACAGGAATAACACCTTGCCATTGTCCAGACCGACATGTGAGTGCGGATGATCCTTCGAGCCTGAATCCATTATTACATGCGAAATTAACTCTTGCACCAGGCGTAAAGGCTGATGAAGATGGAGTCATGTGACCATTAACGAGAGGTCCAGGGTTTGGACAGTTGACGGCTGCAAGCAAATGACAGCACAATGTCAGGAGCTGCTTACCTCATCGGAGTCAGTCGTTATATTTAATTTTTTTCCATTAAATAGTTAATTTTTTTTTTTTTTTTGCAAAAGGTGCAAAGCAGATTGTCTTGTTAAATCGCTTACCTATCTCGCAATGCTTTCCTTCGAAACCAGCCGGACAACTGCATTTGTAGCCAACAGGAAGGGAAATGCAAGCTCCTTTATTTTGGCATCGATTTGTGGCACAAGCTCTGTTAACTAGAAATTAAAATACGTTGAAGGCATATTTTGCGTTCATTTTAAAGTGGTATTTTGATGTACTATTTTGGCACCTCGTCTTCTTTTAAAACACTATCATATTATTTGCCTCGTTTACCTGGACAACCACAAACTGCCCTGAATTTAAAATCAGGACAAACACGCGAAGGAGAGCCTTGCTCACTGTTCAAACACCTGACTCCACTAGATGAGCAAGTGACGTTTAACTCGACGTCCTCAGGTCCTTCTCCAGTCAACGTTTGGCAATCATAGAAAGAGGATCCTGAGCATGCGCCACTAGAAGACTCGCTGTCCCCAGTGCCAGTGGGATTATTTCTGTCGATCCAGTTGCTCCAGCATTTGTTTTCTGAAAGTAACAAGCAACAAACTCAATTTTTGCATGAATTCTCTTACAACCTCCTTAAACAAATATTTAAAAACAAAAGTTATTAGAATCATGCAACTGCTTTACAGGGTAATTTTAACTATGAAAAGAAGCTTTATTAATCAAGAATCAAGGCTCACGCTTTCTTGCTGCTGATGGCTGTACTTTTATTACAGTCTTGTCGACATTGACCAGGAAATCGCTCCATGCAATGACGTTTCCATCCCTGTGTTCAGCGTGTTTGCTCATGTCAGCAATTTCAGCTGCGTCAAGTTCATAGCTCCAGATATTCATCTGCGTCATTTTTCCAATAAAAGCTTCGTTGGCACTGAAATTTCCTCCTAAAATGTCTTGTTCTTGGCCGAGTGCGAACAGTCCGCCTGCAGGAATTACCTAAAGATATCGGAGGGCAATACGATTAATTGAAGGCCTGTTTATAATTTTTCCTTGGAAAAGAAAGTGAAGACAAGACAAGACAAGACAAGACAAGAACCCTAAAAACCCGTGAGCAAGACAAATAAACTTGGTTACTTTTATAAAATGGGTGTTTTAAAATAAGTCTTTGCAGTACCTTGTCTTTTTGGAAGGGCGAAGAACTGGATTTAACTTTAGAGCCATCTTTGTATACATTCCAGAGACCAGTATTGCTCTTCCATGTGAACGCCATGTGATGCCACTTGCCATCGTTTGCTGGCACGTTTGTGGGGACTTTCTCGTTGTTAATCCAGATATTAAAACCATTGTAATCATGAATAACCAGAGCATTGTCGAGTAGTTTTCCTATGAGAAATTTTGTTAAATCATTTTCACCCCACCGCTTGTTGAAATGTTTTTTACGAAAGCAGCCAACCGCGAATAAAAATCTTTTATTATCTTCAATCAACTTGACGGATATGCTATGGTTAAACTAGCAATTCTACATACCATTAATTTCGACGGCATATGAAATAGGAGTTCCCGGATCGATATCGCTTATTAGCTCAGACTTCATCCAGAAGCTTACAGTGAAAGCACGCAATTCCCTTCGCATTTCAACCAAGGAAGTAGCGCGACCTTGTGAACGCTCGAAGGCCAAGTCGAAATTTGAAGATCCAGCTAAAATTTAAAAAAGAGTGACAGTTACCTTTAAATAGTTATCATTTTTCATTCAACGCAAGTGGCAAAACGTATTGCTCAAGTGTGAGGAAGATATCTAGACTCTTACTCACCATTTTGACACTTATCGCCACTGTATCCTGCTTTGCATAAGCACTTAAATCCCCCAACTTGATCGACACAAAGGCCAGCATTCGCACAAGGAGAACTAGCACATTCATTAATATCAACTTCACACTTAAGACCTCCATACCCTTTTGCACATGCACATTTGTATCCATACGAAGTTTCCTGGCATGTTGCACCGTTCTGGCAAGAGTCTTGTTGGCAGCCATTGGTCTTGGTTTCGCATCGCTCTCCGGTGAAACCACTTTTACAAGAGCAGCTGAAGGTATCGATTTTGTCAACGCATTTCCCGCCATTTTGACATGGATTACTTGCACATTCCTAAAAATAAAAATCACTCTCATATTCTATCCAGATTCAAAAAAATACCAGTTTTTGATATCATTTGTCACTCATTCAAAGCATTACTTACATTCTCGTTTGTTTCGCAGAACTGACCAGCGTATCCATCAGCACACATGCACTGGGGACCACTTGGAGACTCCACGCATATGCCGCCATTTTTGCACAAGCCTAGTGAACATTCATTCAGTTTCATGTCACAGTTACGGCCTTGATAGGAAGGAGGGCACAGACAGATATATCCATTTACCTGAAGCAAGAAAAGAAAGTACATCAGGGGAAAAGCGGGGATGATGAGATAAAAAAAACCCAGCTCTTTCAGTCCTATAATCGGTTGGATTAGCAGTATTTACTTAGGGTCATTGAGTTCAATTGCAGTTTAGAATGGCTAGGAACAACCAACGGTAGTACCCACTGCTCTAGATCTTTGCCAACGTCAGACAGAAATGCGTTGGTTTCTACAAAAAATAGACACTTCTAGCTGGAAATTCTTTAGGAAACCAGTAAGTTAAACATATTACAACGAGAATGTATTTGCTTTTCCTGAGGCAACTAAAGTATAGCTCTTCAGTCTCTACCAAAGGCTCTTTTGGCGCGCTACCTTTCAAAGTCAAATCAGAAATATGCGGACGCAAACAATGCATTGAAAAAACACCCTCTTAGAGGTTTTTAGGGAAGGATGAAATTTTCGAAAAGTATGTCTGTGAAATTGGAATTAATGTAAAACTGCCGTTAGGTGTCGTTGCGTTTGCTTTATTACCCATTTTCTCCATATGTTTACCTTATCTACACAGGTACCTCCTTGTGCACAAGGACTAGACACACACTCATCTTCTTCTACTTCGCAATTTGCTCCTGTGTAACCTGGAGGGCACTGACATTCGTAGCCAACTGCGTTGTTTTTACACGATCCACCATTATTGCAAGGGCTGGAACTGCAGTAGTTTATCTCTAGAAAAATTCGTTTTGATCATTTGTTAATAAACAATATTTATAGATCCTATTATACGCCTATCCAAGGTAAATTCATGTGATAAAATGCGCACTAATACCATGATACACAGTCCAAGAAAAAGTTCAACTGAATTGCGTTTACAATATTAAAAAAATAATTAATGAAAGATTATTTCAAATAAACTGTTCTGATTAAATCTGACAAAACATTCCAAGTAAGAAATTCATTCTCTGCCTCAAAACTTTCAGGTAAGCAGGAAAACCACTCCTCTTCATCAAACTTGCAAAAAAAATGATTTTTTCTTGTTTGTACGATTAGCTGGAAGGGTTAAAAACTAAAGATAAGTGTTCCAAAATTTACCAACGCATTCAGTGCGTAGACGTGAGCCCCGTCCGTACGTAGACTTGGTGTCAGCGCAGTCTAGGCATGTTGTTTTCCTGGTGAAAGGCTGATATTGACCCACTGGACATAGAGTACAGGGCTCAACACCGGTCTTCGAGTATGTTCCCGCGGCACAAGGCACTGAAAATAAGACACACAGCAAACATATAAAACCACTTTTAAGGCAAACACTTATTAACATTTAGAGAAAAAATGTTTAAGTGGTATTAACTCCGCGACTAATAACAAAACAAAAATTACGCGGTATAAATTAACATATATTTATGAGACATGTTAACATGCTTCCTGCACTCAACAGGCACTCAAACCCTGTAATGTATGGCTGCAAAATATAGACCTTTCCGAGTTCCAAATTACCACTGTCCTTGATTCCAGACTCATTTACACAGGCTTAGCCTCGAATCGGTGTCTAAATATTCACAAATACGAATGGTAAAGTGAAGAATGCACAACTTCAACGATACCAACACTTTGAAACTCCACGGACCTTGACTGCATGGAACACGAGAATATTCTGCACATAATCGAGGCTAACCTTTAGCTAACCCTGAACTTGAAACTGAAGTATTGTGGCATCCAGGGCTTCGTGACTACCTAGAGAGTTTCACGTATCCAAACAACTTGTGTAGTTGCCAAGACGACTAACATACTGACATAACGTATCAACTCAACATTCAACCCTAATCTGGCCTAAGATCCCCAGCTTTGATGTTACTCACTTCCACAATCAGATATTGAAGAAGCTCCTTCACGTAGGGTTATCGTAGATCCAGGACACTTTCGGCAGCTGGTCTGTCTCTTATCGGGCTGATAATATCCAATGGGACAGGCAATACAACTGATCAAACCAGTAGAAGAGTATTCACCAGCAGAACAGGGCACTAAAAGAGATAGAAAATAAAGTTCCATAAGTTAACTTGCTCCTTCGCAATGATAAAACGACATATAAATGGATTTATATTATATTATTATAATATAATATTAATATAAATAGATTTTCAACGTATACGTACGTTAGAGTCACTCTACACCTAGAGATAGAAATTGATTGTTTTGCGAGTAAACAAATCAAAACACTTGTCCCTGGACTTACGTTTGCAGTCGCTGGCATGTTTTGTTCCGCTTTTGAAAGTGAATGTTCCTCTGGGGCATTTCTTACAACTCAGGCTGCCAATTACATCTTGATAAGTGTCGACTGGACACACCACGCACTTCTTTTGAGTTGTATCATAATAGTTACCATTTGGGCAACTCTCTAAAAAGAGACAAAAACATAATATTCAGTTATAGACCCTATTTGTGGAGATTCCTGTTATGAGCATTTTAGAACAATATTCCGCACTCTGGATTTTTATTCACTAATCCATTTAAACACCAAAACAATAACGGCCGTGATTTGCTCAGATGTATATTTCTTTCGACATTTATCCACCGTACTTTCGTTCTACAATACAAAATACCAACGCTGGCTGTGGAGAGTAGTCTTAACTTATTATATCATATAATAAGTACATCACTTACGGCATTGGCCTGTTATATTCGTATTCATCTCAAATACAGAACCATCTTGACATGTTCTTTGCACATCTCCCTCGTGCATCTCCTTAAACTGGTTATTGAGACCCGGTACATTAATAGTCCTCAGCTTGCCAGTCTTGGCGTTTCTTAGTTTGTTCATGAAGTCATTCAATTGCGCTTTAACTTGACTGTAGGGTCGGCCATTGCTTTTGACGTCAAGTTTGAAATCGATTTTAAGGACATTCTGTCAAGTAATGAAAACAAAATGTCTTCCTTAACGTTTTTCTATTTGATGGCTCATTTTATCGTCATCGTCAGATGGGAGTCCGTATAAAACTTTGGCGTTAGACGAATCTAACACCAGGCTATTCAAAACAAAACCAGAGGAGGTCTGAGGATACTCAACGAAATTCTTAATGTAAGGTTTCCCGAAATGCTATTATTCTGCCTTTTGGTGATATTTTGGATGGAAAAAAGGTTTGGTGCATCTAAAACTAGAAGGGGGACCGTAGCCCTGATTAAACCCTAATTCCTCTTCAGGTCGTGGGATTTGAAGATTCAAATCATATTGTTTACTTACAGAGTAGCCAAGACTTCTCTTTCTCGACTGTGTCTTTCCACATATGACTCGAATGCTTTCCAAATCACAAACTTGTGTTGATTCACAAAAGTTAGGATCGCCATTGCCGATCACCTCCTTGACTCCTTGAATAAAGTTTTCTTTAGCTTGTTGTTGAGCAGCAGGGCTTGAGCAGTCTCCCGAGAAATATTGCCATTCCATTCCCTTCACAGCGTTGGGATCAAATGTAGCTTTAAAAGAATCAAATAGAAAAATTCTTACACTTTCTTTCGGGCCGCCATTATTGGCCAATACCATAACAGTGTTTCCAGCATGATGACATCATGATAGAAGCTTTTCCCCTTAAAAAATAATTTATTGCCCCAATAATAAATTGCCCCACACCAACAACCAACCGTTCCGCAATTTTTTTTCCTCCCCTTCCCTGAAGCAATATTTTAGCCGTTCAGTAACTACACATGAATCAAGAGCTTCGCCCTACTGCTCTAAGCGCATGCTAGAGGCGTCAAAAAGTGGAAGAATGGGTTGTAGAAATTTCTGCATTTTAATTTTATGTTTCTCATGAAGTGCAATTTTCCTTAAAGATTCCTCAAATATACCAAAATATAGCAATTTTTACAAACCACGGTTCCACTTTTTGACTCCTTGAGCATCAGCTTAGAGTAGTAGCGCGAAGCATGATGTATGTATATAGTAACGAAACAAAATGCAATGCTCTATTGAGGCACTTACCAGTACAGTCAGGCCATGGCATGGAGACATCTACTGTCGGGTCCATTGAAAATGGATACCAATCAGCCGCGTGTAAACAAACATAGAATTCTGCTGGTTTTCTTGAAAAATCAAACTTGGAGTTGCACATCGGGGTGCACTGATCTCCTCCCCATAGTGGTTTTTCTTGACATGAAATCAGTCCGTTGACAGGTGGATCGAAGGTTTTGCAGGTCGTTTCTGTAAATAACATCACGACATCGTTAGCCATGCCCTGACTTAGATCAGCCCAGAGGTTGTTCTAGGGTTTGATCTGTGAGTTTGCCATGCCCTGACGTAGATCAGCTCAGAGGTTGTTAGGGGTTTGATCTGTGAGTTAACCATGCCCTGAATTTGAACTGCATGCCCAGAGATGGTTTTAGGATTCGATCTGTGAGTTACCAGTGCCCTGACTTAGATAAGCCCAGAGGTGGTTTCAGGGTTCAGTCTGTGAGTTAGCTGTGCCCTAACTTTGATCACTGAGCCATGTAGCCCAGATCGAGGTTGTTTCGGCCTTTCTGTCTTTTTCGTTGCTTTCTAAATTTCTTCTTAGTTTTATTTTTGATTTTTTTGTTAGTTCTGCCATTAATTGTTACTCACTTGTTACTTGAATAACGAATGTGCACTTGTTTTTATTCCCTGCCTGGTCAACCGCGTTGTACGTGACGGTATACGCTCCCTCATTGAAAGAAGACCCGTTTTTGGCTTCCGTGAAAACTGAAACTGGCAGACGTGAGTTGTCGAAGTATGTCGGTGGTTTCCAAAACACATTGGTCTTCGCGACACCACTCTTTTTCTTCACCTCTATGTTATCAGGACAGTAGATGAATGGTGGTTCGTTGTCTGAAACAAAAACACCATTAGTACCGTGAAGTTACTAATCACAGTCGTAACAGTCGGACTGAAACCTTTAAACTGACTGCTCAGTAATAGAGGCTTTGCACCATCACGTGATGGCAGCCATGACAGGAAGCACTACAATTAGAGTCATTCTTCCCCTGGGAAACTGAATTCTTTCTCATGTAAATCAGGTTGGATCAGATTCAATTGTTCCCGCCTCCTGTCATGGCTGCCATCAATATATTTACGTTTCAATAAAATATTTTCAAAATATAAAGCGCGCGTTTTATATTAATATAGGCTTTTATCACAGTATAGAGACATGCGCGCGCGTTTCTTATTCATATATGTTTATATCTCAGTACAGAGACATGCGCGCACGTTTCTTATTCATATATGTTTATATCTCAGTATAGAGACATGCACGCACGTTTCATATTCATATATGTTTATATCTCAGTACAGAGACATGCGCGCGCGTTTCATATTAATATAGGCTTTTATCTCAGTACAGAGACATGCGCGCACGTTTCATATTAATATAGGCTTTTATCACAGTACAGAGACATGCGCGCAAGTTTAATATTCATATATGTTTATATCACAGTACAGAGACATGCGCGCAAGTTTGATATTAATATATGTTTGGCAATGTATGGCATTTCCAAACTTTTTACGAGATAAGGTTCCAAAATTTTAAAGAGATATTGGGAGTATTTACCTGTGACTGTTATTGTCATGGTACACGATGCAGTCAGATTACTCTTATCCGTAGCGGTGTAAACTATACGCGTAGTTCCAATCGCAAAATCGTACGGTGACTTGATGTGTGGATGTGAGGTGATCACCCTTGGAAGGGCATTTGGATCGTGGTTTTGAGCGTTGTCATTTGCTTGAGGTACGTCCCACGTAACTCGTTTTGTAGGAGACTCCGGATCCGTGTTACCATTGACATTTGTGGGACAAATGATGGTTGGTGGGAGAACATCTAAGGAGATGAAGAAGGAATTATTCAAATATTCATTCTACGCATGATTCATAATCGGGCATCATGATATCAAAGTTTGGATTCGGAATCTTCAAAAACTTGTCAAAAAAACCCTCATTTTATTCGTAAAGATAAACTGCAGCAAAGTTTACAGTGCAAATACCGCAACTGGAGCAACTTGCACAAGTTACACAAGAGAGTCAGTCAATCATATATTTTTACATTTCACATTACACATTCATGAGGTGGTCACATCGCATGGGTCTCGTGTCCCGTTCGTGACTTTCCTTTCTGGATAACTATTAGTTTTTTTTTTCTATTCAACACAAAATTGGAATGTATTCTTTTTATTCTTCAATTTGATTGGTTCTCGCTGTCTAGGTGACCCCGGTTATAGTAGTTCCACTGTAAAGGTAGAATATATCTCTATACTTATCCCGATAACTGTACATGGACTACCACCATGGAGGTTACCTCTGCATGTTGGGAATTGTCCTTGCCATCGTCCATCGATTCCACAAGTTAATGGATTTGGGTTATCAATTTGGTATCCTTTCACACACTTCATAACGCAACCTTGGCCGTATGGTTGGGGTTTTGTCAAGCAATCCGCAGGATGAACGGTACCAAAAGCTAGACGTCGCAGGGCGGGACATAATTTGACTGCCGAGAAACAAGATAGTAATTGAAGTCATGCGGTTGAGTGAATCATTCCTAGCTTACAGTAATAAATTGGAAATTCTTAAAAGTGCTTTCACGAAATATTTTGACTGATATACAACAAATGAAGACTATAGAAAAAAATAAGGATAACATTCAAGTAGTGAGTACCTTTGCAGCTAGTTTGTTTTCCTGACCATGTTCCATCTATTTGACAAACTCGTTTCTCATTTCCTTGCAGATCATAGCCATTATCACAACTGAAGGTACAGTGTTTACCATACTCGCTCCCTGTGCATACCATCTTACCATTGTTTATCAAAGGTAAAGCAGCGCACTGAATCACTAAAAAAACATATACACGTTTACCTTGCATAATATGCTTTACATATAGCACGACGAATACACCTATTTCAAAAACGGTTGTCAGAGGCAAAGGTCATAGGTGATAGGAGCAATAGGCAATAGCCAATAAGCGATACGAGTAGGTAGATAATTCCTTTATGCTTTTTTTATATATTCTCGTCAAGAACAAGGAGCATAGTGTTGAGATATTCAATGTCAGGGCCGTACCCAGGGGGGAGCACACACGTGCACACCCCCCCCCCCATGAAAGCTTAAGGTCCGCTCAATATCCATTTGCTTTAAGACTGCATTTTTTATTAAATCAAGAGCACAAAACTTTTATTTTTTTGCCAAATTTATGACAGTTGGTAAAAAAACGGCTACTAAAAAGCCGATCAATGGTCCGATTTTCATGCACCCTCCCTGTAAAAGTTCTGGTTACGGCCCTGAATGTCGTTCGTAGTTGACGAAACCATTTTAGAAGCTTCTATTATTCGCATTTAGCCGCATACCCATAATTCCTTTTTCGTCTTAGAATGCTATGATCTGGAACCACCAATCTGCGTTCTCCTTTGGCTCCAGGCTTCGACAACATTTTTTGAAATATAGGATCATTATGGAAAATTTCTTTACGAAGCCCAAAATATCCAGTCAAATGACATGTTACATATGAACCAGATATTCAATGATTGGTCTGAGACTGTATGTCATGAAGGTACGCCATTTTTGCTTTTTGCGCGCCACATCTAAGGGAGTGTGGATTGGGGTACCCGATTGTCATTTAACTACTAATTTTTAGGCCAATTATCAGTTAACTGTTAAACCCCATCCACACACTCATCTACCCTCGATAGACAAGTGCTCAATATTATAATCATTTCGTATTTCATGCAGATTGCTTCTTAATACAGGTTAAGAAATTGAATACGAATCTATTCTTATCGGTCACTTACCTTGACAACTAGGGCTGGTTCCACTCCATATTCCAGTGTGTTGACAGATTCTTGACTTTGAACCAACTAACCTGTGACCTTCGTCACACTCGAATTGACACTCTGATCTGAAAATATTGTTACATTTGCCAACGATCCTGCCATTGATTGGTGGAGCCACTGGTGAGCACTTGACGGCTGTAGAAAAGATCACCGCAAAATCACCATCAATTGTTACCACAATATCTCCATCAACACATCATTAACATGCATCAGTATCATCCCCACAACCACCGCCACCACCAACATTATCATCACCATCATAGTCATTGTCATTAGCGGCATTGGCACTTCATCAACCGGCATGCATCGTCATTATCATCATTTCCATCACCACCACCAACATCACAGTCATCATCATATTAACATCATCGCTATGCGAGCAAACTATCACCATCGCACATCGTCATTACATCATCTCCACATTGTCATTGTATAATTGTTATAATGATGTCACCTACGTTTACAAGGTGTTCCAGTGTATCCCTTCCAACAAACACAATCTCGAATGGAAGTGCTTCCTTCGTTAAGTGTTGTAGAATGAGTGGGACATGGAGTGCATCTTTCTGGGCTTGGAAGTCGCTTATATGTTGCACGTGGACATTCTATAATAAACATGTAAACAATTAATTAAGTAACGATATTGTTTTGAAATCGAAAGTCATTGACTCAGTTTTCATTCGGAAATATTTATAAAAAAGGTTGTCTAATATGGTAGCCGTATATCTCTTAAAAATGCAAAAACGTAGAAACGAATTTGAAGAAATTCAACAAAGTGATCTAATCGTCTTCAGCCTTTAAATGAATTGCATGACACCATTATAATGAAAGAATGAATATCACATGGACTGCACTTACTGTAACAAGCGCCTTTGATACCAGCTCCATAATACCCTTGCTTACACACGCACTGGTATATTCCGCTGACTGTACCGCAGGCGCAGAAGGCATTAACGTCACACCCCTGACTCGATGTGCATTTGTTGTTGGGCATTTCCATGTAAATACGATCATGTGCATCTAGTATAGAGATTAAATAGCAGCATTAAAAGGGATTGCCAATAGCCCTCCTCCCTAAAAATTACTAAGCCAGCGACCCTGGACTGAAATTCGGCACACTAAAAATATATCCATATAACTTGAATTCAAGTGGCATTTTACATACTACAAGCAACTAGTCATTGCCCTCCCCCCTACTCGCTCTGTAGTGAATATACTTTATATCGGCATCGTTTTAAAGCTCTCGTCGGACTTACCTCCTCGAATGTACAGGGCCAGCTCCTTGAATCTTGTGAAAGAGCTAAACTCTAGGACATGGGACTTTGTGCTGGCGAGTGCTTCAAGTTGCCATTTTCGATATCCACTAACACCAACCATAAAGAGCTCGTTTTTATATTTACTTTTCAAAAGGTTTGCCTCAGCGGTAGGGTTTCCGGGGTTCCAGCCTCCGTCAGTGATCATCATGGAGACAGTATGAACGTTCAGTCTCTTCCTTCCTTTGTTCATGGCGGTCTGTATTATGTTCATGGTGCGTCTGAATGCTGCTTGCATGTCTGTTCGCCAGCCCCATCGATGCTTGACGTTGTGGGTGAAAAAGGGTTTAAACTCGCACTTGTTCTTGGTTTTGTCAGTAGGATCGATATCAATGTAGTTGATATCTGTCTTAACGACTTTACCGAATGTGATAACACACACTCGCGTGGAATACGGTGCCACGCTGAACTCATTAAGTAAGTTATCTACAAAGATCTTCTCTGTTTGAAAACCGTAGTTTGAGACGCTTCCAGAAACATCGAGAATAAAGATTAAATCAGATTGACTATTGTTGTATTTCGCCTTAAAATTTTTCAAAATAACATCGGGATTCCCGAGAAACCCTGCATTAACGCCAACAATCAGCGCGGGAACAAGCAAGAGCCACCACATCGTCACCGACATTCTACAGCCGAATAGCGTCTTGCTGCGCCGAGGGCTTCTCGCTAAGAAATATTATTCAGAATTCATTTTTCCTTTTTTATTCTTGGGTTTGTTCAGCTGATAAATTTAATAAACTTTCATGGAGGTTGGTGTTTACAAGGCCTGTTAATGTGGACCCAGGTTTGTGGGTACAGCTGTAGTTTTATTGGGTCATGATTATCACATAATTGACTGAAACATTTGAACAACTTTGTTTGCGTTCAAGCTTTGACTTCATCAATGACGTTGATCCAACAAACAAGGCCGAACAATATATCAGGGCTAATCTAGATTCATTTCCTACGATTTATTTGCTTTAGCTGTTGAAAATAATTTAAAACATTAAGATGGGATATATACGATGGGATGTTCAAAGAGGGTGTGGATGGGGCTTAGCAGTAACTGGCAATTGGCCTCAGTAGTTAATTGGATAAAAGGGACTCTACCTAAAATTAGTAGTCAATAGTTAACTGATGTTTTATTATTTTGGTTAATATTATGGTCAGCGCATGTAAACTTATCAACAGTTAACTTACAATTGGCCTAAAAGTTAGTAGTTAACTTACACTCGGGTACCATCCACAGCCCATTCAAACACTCTGCGATATAATCTCATTGTTTTTCAAACCTCTAGATACCTAATACTTTCTACTACTCTCTAATACGTTATTAAATTTTAGTTAATCATTGAATTGGTTTTTTTTTTTCTGTTTTCTTTCCAATGCACTTTTTATTTGTCTTTATTTATTCATTTACTAATTGTCCTCAAACAATGATATGTCTGCGTTGAGAACAGTCATCTGGAACGAGAACTTGAAGTTTGTAAAGCTGAGCAGCTGAATAAACCTTTGAAAAGTCTAAGTTTAGTTCAAAAACGTCCAGTAGAGTACAAACCATATATCCATGAAAAAGTACTGACTAATTAGTATAGGAAATCGCGAGATCTCGAGTACAATTCTGAATTTATAGGTACGAGTGATGCTTTAAAAGCTTTTTAGCGAGCCTTTAAAACTTCTCAAAACATCACGAGTATCTATAAATTCAGAATTGTACGAGAAGATTGTGCGATTTTTTGTTTATAATACGCTTAACATAATTGAGCAATTTAATTGGGACTCTACAGAGTACAATTTGGGATTTAATTGTACTCCTCTTGTCCAATTAGGATCGAGTAATTTTGTTGAGTGTATAAGTACAAAATAGCATCAAAAAAACAATTGAAAACAAGGGAAATAAATGTGTTTAGTGCTATTTAGTTTTTGTGTTATTTCACGGATACATAGTTAGTGCACTTTGTTAATTCTCAATTTTATACTCATTATTTATTCATGAGCTCATCGACCAACCAGGGTTTCTTATTTGTACCATGTGCAGTAGTTTGAAACCCCCATCAAATACGACCGCACTCATTTCAAAGTACTAGAACTTTGAAATAAAAATTCAAACATAACAAAAAGAGTATAAGATGTCGGCTACGCCTCGGCATTTAAAATTCCACTCGGATTTTGAAACCCCAATAGAATGCAGCAACTCGTATTTGAAACATTACTTCAATGAAATATGCGATACCTGAAAAGTGAAACTCTTTTTACATGGTGATGGCTTAGTATTACTTAATTTATCCATTCTTTTCCTGTATTTAGTATTTCTAACAGCATTAAGTCACCTTCAAAAGATGAGATGATACAATAGACCAGTTTCGAAATCCAAATTACCGCTGTGTTCCTTGATTGCAGACTCATTTGCACAGGGTTAGCCTCGTATCAGTGTTTAAATATTCACAAATACCAACGGTAAAGTAAAGAATGCACAACTTCAACAATACAAACACTTTGAAACTCGACGGACCTTAACTGGAACACGTGAATATTCTACACAAAGTCGAGGCTAACCCTGTGCAAATGAGTCTGTAATCAAGAAACACAGCGGTAATTTGGAATTCGAATCGGGTCTATTTGTTAGTGGATTGCTAAGTTTAGATGTTTTCATTTTATCATTAAAGTACGTCTCATTATTTATTCATTCGGAGGGACGTTGAGCTGCAATGCTGAGGTAAGCAAGATACCATGCAAGTTAACCCAACATTGGTTTATGATGAGGTATCCATGGATATATTGCAGCCAAATCGCGAATAGTTAATAATCATTCGGGTATATTTTTCTCACTAACTAGAATATAGACAAGTAACACTCTGCAAAACTCGGTAACTAACCCTTACATGTCAGATAAACGCCTTGGCACATGACAATACAGGAAGCCCAATTCCATTAGGAAGCAACTTTCCCACCAGCCCCCCTGGCCCTAGCAATCTTCAATGAACAAATACATATGCTCATGTGCCACCATCGTGGCAAAATAACAGAAAACGGGGAGGAGGCTTTAAAGTATTTTTTAATAAATTTTATATGCAAAAGATGTTTTATTTGCCAATAGTTTAGTTTTTTAAAATTAAAAGAGAAAATTAAAGAAAAAGATAATAATAAGGGAAAAGGAGGAGAGAGCAGGTAGGGGAAAGAGGAAGAAAGAAAGCCCTTCGGGATTAGAGTTTTCACTTCAGCAAAAGAAAGGAAATAACGCTTATTTTGAGGATCATTGTATCTTTTCTTAATTAATAACAACACACACCAACCAGTGTATATAATCGTAGTGCATAATGTTTATTAAGATTAAGTACACTGAGAAACAATTAGTCAAGATCACTGCTTCGACTGCTACACATACATTTTAGTAGTCGTTTTGTGATTGGTACTACGTCACTTTGACGACTTCCGGTCAGCGGCGAAGTCTGTCAGGAACTGCAAGAAATAAAAAGCAATAATGGAGCTGTAACTGTGCTAAGCTGTGTTCAAACACCCAGTCTTGACCCTATCCTTTTATTACACTGTATAATTCTACCCCATGATGGCATCATCCACCTTCCATACTCCCAAAGACATTCTTTAAAATATGGTTTCATGCTATATATTCTGGACGATTATTACAAGCATTACTTTCTAATATTAATGTCTTATCGAAAATTGTCATACCAAAGTGAAACCACCCTTAAATCCACCCATATGTCCACCATACTTATAAACAAGCAGTCTTGTATATTAAAGAAACAATTATTAATATAATTCAAAGCCCTGAACTTACTCGGTCCATAGATAAGCTCAACATGAAGAGAGACATAGTTTTCACTTTTGCCAAACTTGTTTTGTATCTCACACTCATAGGAGCCAGCATCATGTTCGGTAGTTTTAGTGATTGTGTAGCGTAAACCAATCTTTTTACCAGAATTGTCAAAGATAGTTGACTTCTGCACTGGTCCACCAAATCCGTCTAGGTAAAAACAAACACACTTGTCATTGCATTGAAATATCAAAAGGAATGACTTCGAAATTCCATAACATTTCGTGTTATGCTTGCTATTTTATCATGTTGTTGGTGATGATGATGTAGTTAGTGGTATTGTTTGTTGTTTGTGGTGATGATGCAGGGACGGCGGAGCTGTTTTTTGATTGGGGGGCTCAATAGTGACATTGTAGGCAAGGTGGGGGGCTGAGTTTAGTGAAAATGTATTAAAATTTCACAAGCCCCCCCCCCCCCGGTTCTTGTTATGATGGTTGTGGTGGAGTAGTAGTGGTGGTGTTTGTTGTTTGCTGTTTGTGCCAGTGATGATCATGATGTTATTATTATTGCATTGGTGGTGATGGTGTGGTAATGTTGAGAATGGCGATGATTATGCTGTTCTTGTTTCTTTGTTGTTGTGGTGGTGATTATGGCTGTGGTGGCGGTTTCTGTTTTCACTTTATTTGTAGTTCTGTTCAAACCTGGTGCTGGCTTAATCTTCATGATAGCAAATTCTGGTTCAGGTACACCAGTTCCTTTGCAGATGATGTCGACTCGGTTCCTCTCAGTCACATTATTTGGCTGAGCCACAAACTCTGTGATGCTTGGTCGTACTGTATAGGGACATAATATTATTTTCAACACCTTATCTACCTCATCTTCCCTGCATTCCATCCCCATCCCTTCTTCATTCTCACCCCCCCTTATTTTGTTTCCATAGTCCTTTGCACCAAGCCTAAAGTTCATCTCCATCTCCAACCCCTGTTTCCTATGTCAGACTATTCCCCATGCATCCAGTTATCCTTTCTGTATTCCATGCTCATCTGATCTTATTCATAGCCTTTTTCTATCCTCCATTCTCGGCTACGTTTTGTACACGACCCCTCCTTTTCTAGTTCCCCCTTTTCTAGATCTGCGAAGTTTTCGAGGCTTCATTTCTGACAGTGTTCGTTGTAGTAAACATTATATTATGATATGTACAATGTGAACAGAACTTAATTAACCTCCGCAGTCGTTCAGATGACTTGCTCCAATCGAAAGAGTAGAGAGTCCACTCGGACAGGCTTTACATGCAGTAGATCCATAACGATCCTCGTAAAATCCTTGTCTGCAAGATTTGCATGATGTAAATCCATCGGTCGATTCTTTGCCTGGAGAACACTTGTCTGTGGAGTCAAGAAAGCGAATAAGAAGGAAACTTACACACGGGTTGTTTTTATATTTTTTTTAATGTCTTTTCACAGAGTTTTTCCCTTCGTTGCAGATATAGAAATCCAGAAGGCTTCAATCAAACAAAAAAATGAGGAAAAATAAATGATGGGATTCGAACTCTGATGTACCCCAAACCCCGAAATTATCATTATATTCCACTATTGATATCCCACCTAGAAATCCGCAGAAACTGAACGCGGGCCTAGAGCTCAATTCCTTGCACTATCTGAACGCACGTCGATTCGAAGGTCGATAATCAATTCTGTTGAATTGTTTTCATATCTATGTTAAGTTAATTTTCCTAAATCCCAAGTCCAATGGGGGAAAATCATCCACGCCCGGTTGGTCGAAGAAAGTAGTTTTTGGTCCTTTTTTAAGATTCTAAAAATACTTGAACCTTGACTGGAAATAGACAGGTAACTCACAAACTTAAAAGTCCCGTCTTGTCCAGATCAATAAGCATCGGCCTTTGGTTGATACTTACTTAGGCAGGCCTTTGCACCATTCGTCAATGTTCCTTGGTTAAGTGGACATGGGGTACATGATAAGCTGCTTTCTCTATCACTGTACTGTCCTTTGGGACACTTGTTGCAGTTTTTCGTGACAGTATCATATGCGTAGCCACGAGGACACCTTACTGAAAAAAATCAATGACGATTTATTAGTAAACAATCGACGCATCAAAATCGATCAGGCCTTGGTCTTCCATTCGAGAAGTGACACTCAGGGTTTGGAATTCGAAAAAAAGTTAGCGCTGAAGCAAACTGTTAAAAGTTTATATAACCAGCAGGTCATGTTGGTTGATTGGCTGATTTAAAAGAGGTTTATAGAATAAGATATGTCTTGTGTCTCTTGAGTAACAAATTAGTTTATAAGACTTACCACAGATATTTTGACTAGGCATTCCTCCTTGTTTGACATAGCCTTGATCACAGATACCAGAGGAAGGCATTGGTACAGAATCTACCCCAACAAAACAAAATTGGTGGAAAAGAAACAGTCAGTTTTGCTTCATTTTGCCTCTAATTAATTTACAACAGTTGAATCCAAAAACCAAGACTCATTTTCTAAATTCATCGTAAGGTCATACCAACACAATCAGGTACTGGATCCCATTTGAGAGTGTCTTTTTGACAGTAGATTGCCCACGTTCCAATGAATAGTTGTTTGCCTGGGTTACACTTGATAGTGGCATATTTATAGCCGTTGAAATTATGAACGCTTATTGTGCCACCATCTGGCGCTGGAGGGTTTGGACAGTCGGCCTCTGCAAATGGAATTAAATAACTTGTTCAATAACTTTTTTAAGGTTGAGAAGCTTTCAGATGGAAGTTTTTCCCCAGTTCAGGTTGAAAGGAAGAGGCACTAATATTCGTATCTGTCCTGCACATGATGATGTTTAGGAATGGCATCATCTATTCTTAAGATGATTCCAAAATCTAGCGTAATATCTATCGAATGTCATCTTCCGGAATTACAAACATTGTTTCTTTGGCTACGCATGTACAAATTACGCTAAAACCACTTACTTTTGACGATGACATCAAAGCTACAAGTAATCGTGTTACCAGCAGCATCACTTGCGGTGTAATACACAATCAACGGACCAACCTTGAAAGTGTCGCCCGGATTTTGAGTTGAAGTAACTTTAATTACTCCGACATTATCCGAGAACTTGGGAAGAGTCCATGACACCTGTGTACTTTGTCCATTAACGATTTTGTAAATATTTGGTGGGCAGTAGTCAGCCTTTGGAGGTTCTTCGTCTAAGATAGTAAAGTGTGGATAACGATTGATCATGATGATACTGATTCAATACTCGGTCATTATTTTACTGACTAACACTTTAGTTACCTCCCATTTGCTCAAATATCTCGTTCTAGTGAGAGTCATTCCCATTTCTTCGCATTCCTGGTAAAACTTTTGTAATAGTCACCCCATCCTAAACTTTCTGGATCTGCCTCTGCTTTAACTTACCTTTGACTGTCACGAATGTCACACAAGAAGCTACTTCGTTAATTGAGTTCCTTGCGGTGTAAGTCAAAGTAGTATCCCCTGCCGGAAACACTTTAGTGTGCTGATATATTGCAGGAGAAATGATTATATTTTTGACGTTGGATTTAGGATCATCAAGAAGAGCTGATACATCAGCAGTGCTTGCATTAGGTTGAAGCTTTACTGTGACAGGGGTGGGGCAAGATATAGTAGGCTTAGGTTCATCTGTAGATAAAAAAAGACCATCCCCTTATCAACAAACGTTTTCCCGGCAAATACGAAATTCAACGATGATACAAATCGATCAAACAACATCAATATATTAAGTTAACCTCAATTTAGTTTCCAAACTAACTTTTTTTGCAACTGAAGGCTGTCGTTGGTGTCGTCCATGTTCCATCAGCTTGGCAGGTCCTAGTCACATCACCAACAGGACGGTAGTTGTAGTCACACTGATAATAACAGCTTTCTTTGTAATAATTCCCACGTTTTTCGCAGAAATCTGGTCTTATTTTTCCATTGGCAGGCGGGGATAGCTTGGGACAAGTCCTGCCTACGAGGCCAAAGTAAAGTTAATCACAAAGCCTGTTAATTGTTATTAAAATAATAGACCCCTTGCAGCACGTTGGAATGCAGCTCAATCTGGCGGACAAAACAATAGGTTCCAATTCTCTGGAAATTGGAATTCTTTTGTTTTGTGTCCCAGATCGAGCTGCTTTGACATCACAATGGTAAATGCCTGTAAACTTATATTGCTCGTGGTGTTATAATGTCGGCTTTACTAAAGTAATAGACCTAAATTCGTCGTGGTGTGAAGCTTTCCTATTACATAGCACGTGTCATTCCCTAAAGAATAAAATCCGTATTCATTTGCAGACGTGTCTTCTCACTCCAGGGGCAACAGTTAAAAAAACTCATCATGATACTCTTGGGAATGACACGTGGTCAGTAATGGAAAAAGATTGGGACAGAAATGGGAAAACATAACTAATGCTCAATACATTTATCGATATTGTACTTACGAACACAGCTGACCGCCATTCCTCCCCATGCTCCATTTGCCTATCAAAAATCAATCATATATAAGTGAGTCATTTTCCAACGATTTTAAACTACAATTCTAGGAATAACAGATAGTGCATGCGGTTCTTTTTTGATATCTGAAATCATAAAGATTTCTTTCTTTATCACCCTTTTTCTAGGGTGCCTCCTAGACACCCAGTCTAAGACTGACTGAAAAAAAAAGTTTCAAAATATATATTCTTAGCTTTGTATGTGAAACGTTCTTGCCGAACGTTCACCCTAAGAATTGAAAGATTCCTTCCAGTTTCTTCACTTTTCAACCAGCTCTACAAAGTGTGCTGATCATTCCCATTGTTGTCGCAGACGTCGATGACAATACATTTCGAATTTATCCTCATAAATATATGATATAGTATAAGAGAGCCATAGCAATACCTGACATGTAATACTACTGCTATAACCAGTAGGAAGCTCGTATCCAGGTTCACAACTGAAGGTGCAAACGTCGTTGACCTTTGGCACTCCACTTTGTAAGCACGACGAGGGAGAGACAATAGTACCTGTAGCCTTTGTAAGTGCTTGGCATCTCAGAGCTAATGGTTCAACGAAATTTCAGAGAATATAAGCATCGGTTGTACAAAGGGTGAATAGCGCTATCTGATGGATAAAACCTTATCCAGTGGATGAGTTAAGTCGATCTTGTTATCTCCAGAAATTCATCCAATGGATAAGATTTATCCGTCGGATAGCGCTATCCACCCTTTATACAATTAACCGAGCTAGCCCAGTATTATAAGAATATTTATAAACATATATCATAATCTAAATTTTTTGTGCTGAGATTTGTGATGGACTTACAATATTTTCTTATAATTTGATGTTGCAAAATTGTTGTGTTCCTGAATGTAAGAATGAAAGAAAGACAGAAAAAGTGTATACTTTGCATTGATACCATAATATTTTCGTTGCATTTGGCCCTGGATGCCTTGTTTTTATGTATCTCACTAGGGCCTGCGCCATTTTGGACTTAGGTGTATAAACCTGCTCAAACTAACAAGAAAAGTCACTTTTTTTAATTTCCTAAACTAATCACGTCGTTTGTGGAACTAAGAGCTTGAGTCATATAATTACGCTTAATTTAAAATCTTACGGGAAAACATTTTGTTTATTTTATTTTACTTACGTTCGCATCGATATTTATCGCTGGCAATGGCTTTATAACCTGGCTTGCATTCACACTGATAATAGGGACGGGTGTTGCGGCAGTTAGTCGACTGTTTGTCACACTGTGCGCTTCCTTCGTTACATTCGTTAATATCTGCAATTAAATGTAAATGATCGGTTAACCTAAGATTCAAACAGTCTCTCCCTGATGCAAACAATTAAATAGCTTTCACCGACTGTATTGTACGTTATGACATTGCCTCAAGTTTCACGCACATACGTTTGGTTTGTATGTGGTTTTTGTCTTTCTTCGTGACGGGTTTCTGAAATGCACCTTTTTAAAATTCTTTTCAGAATTGCCATGAAGCAATGCATGGTTCCAGTTTGAGGTTGGACTTGAAAACCAAGTAGTGTTGTAAATAGACCTATTTCGTCTTGGTGCAATTCTTTGGGTACGTACGACCAGATGACTAAAAACCCATCAATATAAATGACGACAAACTACAGCCGCCATCTTGGTTGATCTAACAAGTTCGGAAGCTAATGAGGAATGCTTTGTTACCGTCAACCAACATGGCGGCCATGACGTAAGATGAAGAATGTTCGCCCGTTTCAGGCAACGGGTCAACAGATCTCGTGTCATTTCCAAAATTACCATTTCTTTGATTCACATCCGTGAGACAACCGTGAAACAAAGAAATTATACTCTTGGAAATGACACGTGATCTGTAAAGGGAAAACATTGCACCAAGATCTTACTCGATTTAGGAAAATATCTTAGATTAAAAAGTCCAGCCTTGTTCTATATTTTTGATGCTTCTTCGCCATGTACGAATTTTATTGCTACTAATTAATAATCGTTTCATTTTATTGAATTACCTTCGCATTTGTATTTATCGGTCAGTCTGAACCCAGGTTGACATGCGCAATAGTAGCTTCCATTTGTGTTGTGGCATAAGTGATCACAGCCTCCATTAGCAACACGACACTCGTTTTCGTCTGAAGAAATTTAAAGAAAAATAATTTATCATAAGGTCACAAAGGCACTTATATGGCACCGAACGTCTCACATTCATAGTCTACTGATACCTTTGCAATTATGTCTGTCTCCTGATTGTATTTTAAGTCCTGTGGGACAAGTGCAGAGATATGTTCCGTTTAGGTTCTGACATCCATGACTGCAGCCGCCGTTGTTTGCAGCACATTCGTCGATATCTAAAACATTCAAGGGCGGCAAAATGTTAGCAAATGATTTCTTCAATAAAATTAGATAGCACCCACATTGAATTAAAGGTCTGAAAAGCCTGTTGTCCTGTGCGCAATAGGGATTAAAGAGCTGAATATATATATATACACTGAAGACACGAAAACCACATAGAACTTACCAGGGCAGCTGTAAGGCATTGCAGCAGCTTCCTGAGGCGTTCGCCTGTACCCACCCTTGCAGTTACATTTGTATCGACCAGGCAAATTGACACACTCTGTTGACTGAAGACTGCAAAGGGATTCACCATTGTTGCATTCGTTTTTATCTGTTAATTGGGCAATCAGAGCAATAATACACATTATATCCTGGACCATTTTTGCATACATTGGCAAAACAATATCAAGAACATTTTATGAAGAATGATAACGTTTAAGGAAAGCACTACCTGTAATGACAATGTTATTCAAAGAAATTAAAGGTAAAATTGTTTTGATCTTTTCTTTCACGTGAAAGCATTAAAAAATCTTTATATTAATTTCCTAGATTCAATCTGACATGACGTCATTTGTTGTTCCCTTACCGATACATGAAAACTGATCTTGCCTTTCGTATCCACTTAAGCATACGCATTTGTAGCTGCCAATGTTGTTGGTGCAAGTAGTTGAGGAGGATTTACAACGACCTCTCTGATTTGGATCGACACTCGTGCATTCATTGATATCTAAGACAGAAATATAAAATATTAGATAGGGAGAAAGTAACGAAGCCACTAGAACATGCAAGCATTGGGAACAAAACGATGGAATTTTGTTCCATAAGAAAAGACAGCCTATTGTTTTATCCCCCAGAACAATTTCTCTAGGAAAACAATGCAAGGGGTCTTTATTCGTGTGTCTTCTCATGTACAACCTAGCGCAACCGTTAAAAAAAGAAATGATACACTAGTGAATGACACATGGTCTGTAATAGGAAAACATAAAGACCGACATGAGGAGGGTCTATTAAATGTATATGAATAAGAAAATAATAATTTTTCAATATGACTGTTTTAATATATAGGTCTTACCGCTGCAACTATGGCGGTCAGCATTTAGCGAAAATCCTATTCTGCAAGAGCATGAATAGCTTCCGTCGTTATTGTTACAAATCTGACTGCAAGTATGATTTGTCTCCGTACATTCATTGATATCTGCAAATGAGCACAGTATAATGTTACTATAGATATGAAGACTGCCTCAGGAAGTAAAATCTTTCATTGCCGTTTATAACCATCTTGTTCGCTCGCAATATACTATATAGCCACTATATCCTCTGTTCTTGTATGCAACAAGTTGCTATTATTTAAACTAATTCGCTAAACGGTGAATCAAATCAATGTTTTACTCACCTAAGCAACTGTATTTGTCCATCTGATTTGTTTTGAATCCGGTTTTACATTTGCAGGAGTAACCGCCATCTTTATTGACACACGTAGTACTTGGTTTATGACAAATCGCGGATCCATCATTGCACTCGTTAATATCTTAACCAGAAAAAAAATAATCCAATTTACTACACAGCTTTTTATGAAGATCGATAAAGATACTTTTGGGCGTCTTTTGCCGCTTTCTTTAACATACAGTCAATGTCATTAACGTTGTCCACCGAAAAAAGACATTTACACATTTACACATTTATACACATTTACACATTTAGACTAAAAGATATATCACGTGTTTCATTATGTATTCTTTGCCTCGTGTGCATCAGCCTGAACTTTAAACGGTAAAATTCAACTCGTGAATCGAAAATCCAGAATGCCCCGACCATTTAGTGAGGATTTAAGATGGTGAATGGTATTTTAGTATTTGTTTTATGCCAGAACCTTCGAGGAAACACGTGATATTTCTTTTAGTCTAAATGTGTAAATGTCTAAATGTCTAAATGCATGTGTAAATGTCTTTTTTTGGTGGACAACGTTAATGACATTGACTGTATGTTGCTGTATTTTTATTAATCATTCAGCATGTTAATAATTCTTTCAAATACTTCACGGCTTGTGTTATCCTAGTCATGCCAAATTTATAAAATATTTTTAGCTACACAAGTCTAGATTAATCGAAAAATGTTTCATATAATACACATTTTAACTAAAGAAAAATTGCGCGCCACTTTAATATTTCAACGAAAAGAATAGTGAGCTCTAAAGACAAACGCGTATATAAGCGCTATTATCAATGTTTATCGCGCGCATGCTCCCTCGATGTTTCCGTGAAGTTCAACACCACTACTCAAGGCAAATTTTGTTCTGAAAAGAAAAGCAAATTTATGCACTACAGTACTTGTTTACCAATGCTTCGTGACATTTTAGCCACCTTTGATAAAAATTTAAAAAACATGTTTCAGGAAACATTTTCTCCTTTAGCCAGGTCTTCACTGATGAAGCATTTTAGTTCTACTTGTGTCTTACCTACGCATGTAACGTTGTCAGAGGCAAACTTGAATCCTTGTGGACACGCTACAAAAATCCACAAATGAGTTTGATTAATCTAAGTGAGACTTCTAGTTAAACTGTATTATCAAGGAAGCCCATAGGGGACATTGCTGCTAATAAAATGAGTTGCTGCAAATTGAGAACTGCAAATTGAAAACTACCGGGAATTTTAAAATCTGTGACCGGCAAACTGTAATCATGACAAAGTGCACGAAGATTCTGTATTCTGTGCCGTATTCTGTGACGAGGGAAAGATAAATGACTACAAGCTCCTCTAGAACTGAGTCCCAATCGTCAAACGGCTTATTGTTTGACATGCAGCAACACGTCTAACATGCAAGCAGTAACTTGTCTAACATGCAGCAACTTTTTTCATATTTGTAGCAACTCGTCGTCTAAATTACTGCATCTTGCTTATGGTCCACGGTAAACATGCAACAACTGGTTTCTTATGGGCCAAAGTACATTATTACCCACCTGGTTTCGTGGTCGTAGGGGGAAGTGTTGTTGGTACGTATACTGAATTCCAAAAACATCAAAGAATCGTTAGTCAAAGTCTGACTTGTCTGTTAAAACGTTTTGTCCGAACACTTTGATTGGAAAAACAGTTACCTCCCGCGCTGTGGTTGGTTTAAAAGGATATTTTCAATTCCCCGTGAGATAATGATTCACATTTATGCCAATTCCACTCTAAAACATGACTACGATCTATAAATTATTGGTGTAGATCTGCGAAGTGAATCTGGACGTAGTGCAACGTCCCATTCTGATTTAATGTTCTCAATTGCACGAATGATGGGCATCATCTTTTGTCATCTTCTTTGCCACGATTTTTCTCACATCAATATAAAATGTCCGCCTATAAAAAGCTATTTGTTATATGTGAATTATAACCAAATAGACAATACGAACTAAGTCTTTATTTGGCTACTAGCAGGGGGTATCCAGCCAAAAATATAAGGGGGCTTGACTGAATTTAGGAACTTCTCATTTTACTTTAAATTCATTGCTTTGACCAAATAAAACTATTATGACTGAAGGGGGCTGTCCTCCCTGGATCAGCCCCTGACTAAGAGTAAGTAAAACCATAACTGTAACTAAAATAAAAAATAAATGATCAACTTCCCTGGTTTTCAATGTAGTTAATAGTTTATATTACTTACAAAAGCATTCCAGTAGCTCAAACCTCATACATGGGTTTGCATAGTAGCTTGTTGGGTAAATACGAATGTACCTAGCGTTTATAGGATATGATGGATATGAACGAAGGTCTGTCTTAACGATGCTATTCATGTCTGTGTTTCCACGGAACAGCTTCGTGCAAAAGAAAATAAAATTATAAGCTGATATAGCTGATGAATGCTGGATAAATTGTGTGAATTTTTGGATTAAAGAGGGGGACAACGGAAATCCAAGGTACAGAGTACGAGCACTGTAAATATAGACGGGATAGGTGATAATGGAGAAAAGAAAGAGAAGAGAAGTGAGAAGATTATCAGAAGTTAAGGACTGAGTGGAAAGATAGATAAACGAATGAATAAAAGAAAATGGGATGAGAAGAGGGAAGTAGAGCATAACACGAAATAAGGAAGAATAAGATGTGGCTGAATGCAATGGGATAGGATGGAAGCTGGATGGGATGACTAAAATTAGGATAGGAATAATTATAAGTTTTGATATGGGATTGTCGATTTATACAAATAAAAACATAGCGGTTTTTCAGATCAAAGTTACCTTTGGTGTTGAAGTTCCTGGTTCTCTTACGGGAATAAAAATATTGGCACGTGTGCTGTAATACACCTTGAACTCTTTGACATACTGACTATGGGTAGTATTACGACCTTGGGTCAGGATGTAAGCAATTTTACGAACACTTCCCAAGTCAACCTAATAAAAATTGCAAGAAAACCAGGTATAAAATTCCCAATACCCAACTTAATTTCTGTTTTGTTTTGTTGTTGTTGTTGTTTGTTTGTTTGTTTGTTTGTTTGTTTTGTTTTGTTTTGTTTTGTTTTTTTGCTTTTGCTTTGTTTTGTTTTGTTTTGTTTTTTTTATTTTATTCATCAAAATACTCCAGGTCTTGCCTTTTCTGCATTCTATTGGAGAATAACTCCAACTTCCTCGACCGTATTATCAAAATAAACTAATTTTGAATTTAAATTTCACACAATTGTTATATTATTACCATATTTTCCTCTACTAAGTGCTTTGGGAGTGGGTGTTTATTAGAAAAAGGTGGGGGAGAGGGGAGGGGGTTTGGGACCTGAAGGCTGGCAATAATTCATGGTCTTTGGAAACTTATAATTTTTATAATCATAATCTCGACAGGTGAAATGAGTTTCCAAGGCCCTTCAAGAGAAGGGACCACAACTCCCCTTAGGGGTGGGGGCTAGGGGCTTAGTAGAGGGTATACGGAAAATAACTTTGAATATTTTCTAACCTGCAAATATGGATTTAGGACATCCTTTCTTGGGCACCATGCCCCAACTCCGCCAGTCTTGCCTTGATAATTATTCAAACGAGCCTCTTTAGCGGACTGGAAACTACCATTAATCAAGAAAAATCTCAATTATCAAATCCTTAATTTTTAATATTAATTGATATTAATTGATTAATTTTTAATATTAATTGATATTATTAATAAAGCTCAACGTACCGACTATATTGTGATGAGGCATTGAAGCTCTGATCAGGGATTCGCCYGTCTTCAATCCCGACGGGTTGGTCACAAACTGAAGATTAAGAATAAAAGATACAATAACCTTTAAGTCGCGTTAAAGATTTCCTAAAGAAATAAAACCTTAATATGAAGGAAATGTGTGCGTGGACAAGATAATTCAGAGAAAAATCTCTGAGACCAGATGAAAATTGAAACCACGACCTTCGGCTCAAGTCGGTCAAAACCTTAGTTTTAATTTTTATTGAAAAGACGTGTGACTAGTACTCACTTTCTATTGAAAATTTTAAAGTTTTAAGACAATTAACGCAATTCTGACTCACCTAAGGCACTGTGAGTAAAAGGAACCAAACATAACGCTATCAAAACCGTCCAATTCATCCTCACTCAGTCTTCAAGCTCTTGGGCCCTGTAACGTTTGGTGTTATCACTGATTGAATATAGCATATGAGTAAATACCAAGACGTTACAGTATTTGATTATCTTTAGCTTTTACTTGCGGTGAAATGCCTTCGACGTTGATATTTTTTCAGGAGATACAGCTGGATAAAGAAGACATGCAATGAAGACATGCAATGAACAAAAAATTCCAAACCCTCCCCTCTCTTCCTTCTTTTCAACGTCAAAATATTAATGTTGATTAATAAACTGATTTCAATTTTCTTTAATAGTATTTTTTTTATATATAATAACAATATAACCAAGGAAACTCTACTGAACTAAACTGAATTACACTAAAACAGCTAAAAAAAACCGTAGTGTATCCCAAGAAAATAAAGTGTTCATCCTCTAGATATGAAAGTACGTTACAATGATTGAGTGAATCTAATGATCTTCTGATATCTCGGAAGAAATCGACGCATGCATTAAAAAAAKGCATAAATGGGTGTGCTCGCGCGCCGTATTATTCTAATCGGGGTCATTTCTAAGCCTTCCTCGCTGTATTTCCCCTTTTGTTTGTCAATTGCTATTTTTTCGTAAAAACTTCTTGTAGGTGCAAGATGCAAAGTATATCTATTATATTTATGCACGGGATTTTGTTTTATTTTGCCTCATTACCTTTCGTTTTCAGTTTTCTAAGTCTCTTTGTTTCATTATTTTTCATTGTTTTTTCCATTTCATTGATTATTCAAATTTCCAGTATAAATTCACTAGAACTAATTACGTTTTTGTAGTCAGTCCAAGTCAAGTTTGGACCAGTTTGTTTTGTAAGTATTTTTCTAGTTTATTTCGCCAGTTCTTGAGTTTTTGATTTACTTTAGTTATTCTCTATATTTGACGTATATATTTATTTGTTGTAGAAACCGTATTTAAGGTATTAAAACTCCTGGTCACAACCCAATGTGTAATAGGTTTATGGCTGCGCCCACACTTCTTTTTTTATGATTGTATTTTTATCTGTGCAGTGAAAAAGATTAAATTTAATTAAATTTAAATTGAAGGTGGTACTGACTCCTTACTGTGTTCTATCAACTTATCCAAGTTAGAAAATGACGAGAATAAAAGACGGAATTTCTTCTCAGTGTTTACCTCCATGATTCGCTAATAATAATTAATAATAATTCGGTAATAGTAAGATTGGTTGGTTTTGTTGAAGGGTGTTTGGATCACAAAATTGGAAGCTATTTGATAAACCCTGAGGTGTTATATGGCTTGGGATTTAGTTAAAAGCAAATCTAAACTAATCTTATCATGCTCGAAACAACAAAATCCATTTCTAGCTAATGATTAATCGTATTTTACTGAGAAATAAGCTTTAAAACAATCAAGTTGTCGTTCTTCAGAACCTTATTTATTTGGCGGGAAATGATTTTTTTAAATTTTATTTTATTGGTTGTTTTTTTTTTTGTTTTTTTTTTTAATTTAACTATTTTATTGTGTATTTAAGTTCAGTAGTTTGTTGGTTAAGGAGTTAACAATTCAGTTCTGAATTATTACAAAATTTCTCTCGTTAAAAGCGAATCAAATGCTTCAAATGTGCTTCATGTGTTGTGAGACATGATTACACGACTATGAGGGCTTAATCACATATTCTAGCCATTAGGTTCCTGATATACTAGGTTCTTAAAAGCGGCTTTTTAAGATTAATACACTCTAAGAATCGTATTAGCCAAGTATCTGAAGTACTGTACCTTACTCAACTCAACGTAGAAAAGATAGAGCCTAGTTATTTTGAGGCACCTTTTGATAAAGTCACACAAAGGTACATCAAGCGCTGTCATGTTTGACCAGCTTGACGAGCTGAACAAATTCTTTCATCATAACCCCAAACGTTTGTTGCTCATTTATTATACCGAATCAATATATGTATATCTTCGATGTTACAGCTGTCTCTGGGTCGTAATGAGCAATATCCTAGCTATTTTGTGTTCCACTTTCCTATAGCATTCAGGCTTTGTCATCAACCATTAAAAAGAATCTTCAAGAAAATCTTTTAAATCGGGATGTTGTGGTTTGCCTTAACTGCTGTGGTTCTGCTACAGTCGGGCGTACTAGGAGATAAAGGTATGTTATCTTAAATTTAACTTTAAAAAACTATTGCGGCTACCTTTGAAAAAATTTGAATAACGCTTAGCTTAGCTAACTTTTAGCACATATCAGAGTTACGCTCTGTTGCCTTCAAACAATTGTTTCAAGTCGAGGCATTTGGGTCAATACATGGAATACACGTAGAGAAACTGACCCAAATACAACAATCGTTTGAAAGGAACTTCATCATCAACAGTAGAAGAAAAAATGGAAATAGATATCTGACTTCTTTTGCGAAATAATAGAACAAGATCAAAAGCAAAAATAGAGGGTTTTTTTCCATATCCCATACGCAAAAGCCTTTTCGAATTCCCGATGATATTTTTAAATCGGAAAACGATCTTTTTAAATGGTCATAACAATAAGTAGTTTGGTTTAACAAGTGTGACTGCGATATTTTTACTTAGTGAATCCCAATAGAATAAATTAACACACCGCCATTCTTTCTGAATGTTGCTGTTTGTACTTGAATAAATCATATAGGTATGCTTCTGCAGCCCCCCTCTTCCACATCTAATTTCACTATCCGTGTTGTCTGGCGTAACCCAGAACATCCCCTTTCCCCTCCCCCCTTGGACCATCTTCTTTATCACTACTTGTACCTGACGTACCCCACCCCGGCGCCACCCACCTAAAGTCAAATTTAATTCAAACTGTTCTTACGTCCATCTTACTTAGATTGTAACCAGTCTCTCCTGACTAACAACGCCGTGACGTCATCATCTCAACTATCGGCCAACTTTTCTGCAAGTCATGCGCAAATGAGCTCAAAATCTGCCTGGTGTCCAACTCAGAATTTTTCAAGCAGCGAGTATTTGCAGATTGTCTTTTCGTCGTTTAAACGCATTACCAGGATCAAAATAGATGGGGAGACAAACCCTGGTGTCAATCAGACGGCTCGACGTGTGACCAAGTACCTCCTTCAAGTTAGCAGGGATGGTGTTCAGTTCCAAAACTTTAAACAGGTTATATGCTTAGTATCTTTACCCCTTTTTTGTTGGATTTGTGGGAAGGGAATGCTTGATATGATCTCGACAACATATATTCTTGCAATACCGCAACTCCTATCGTAGGAGAGAGAGGGTAACTCAAAAATCACCAGTGGCGGATCTAGGGGTGGGTTTTGGGGGTTGCAACCCCCCTATAAGAGCCATCGTGATTTATTATTATTATTATTATTATTATTATTATTATTATTATTATTATTATTATATATATTTTTTCATGACAACACCAACAGCATCGCGAGTTTTATTAAAACAGGGGTGCCAAACACATTTCGCTCGCTTTTTTTCTATACGCTGCGTGTGTGGGACCTGAAACAACCATGCTCGCCTGCAGCAATAATCGTCTCCCAAACCCTTTGGTCTGCAATATCTCCCCATCACCCCAATCAATGCTACAACCCCCCCTTTGAAAAAATCCTGGATCCGCCTCTGATCACGAGTGAATAAACTATATTTTTTATGTTATTTTATATCTGATATTATAATTTTATCATGGGCATGATTTCTATTGCGYTTCTCTCATAAATTATTGTGTTGGATAACGTTTATATGGCGTATACGAGTATTTTTATTTTTTCAACAGATATCACAGTCAGACGTTGTTGTTCAATTGAATGCCTTTGCGGTTCGTCTAGTGCCTCGTTCTTTCAATGCATTTCCTTGTATGAGGGTCGAGATTTACGGATGTAAAGGTTAGCATTCATTCATTCTTTCGAGGAGTACCACCACCATTCCTCCTTGCACATCTTTAAATTTAATCGTATTTTCGTGCGAAGGATGCATTCAAATGAGAAACCGTATCAGCTACGTTTTATAGGTTAATCTCTAATGCCAAGCTTTCGGCCATATTGGCCATTTCTTTATTCATATTGCATTTATTTGATGAACCAAATGAAAAGATCTAGAACGCGCTGAAGGATGGGAAATAATGGAAAAGATATTAAATGTGGAGGGCATAGTTTTGATGTAATCTATCCAGTTGGTTAACGATGATAGTATTTATAATACCTAGATATAGCAGCTATGGTACCTAGATATAGCAGCTATGGTACCTAGATATAGCAGCTATGGTACCTAGATATAGAGTTTGTATTCATCTAACAGGTGTAGTCCAGCAATGCACACTAACTCTGAAACCATAGCTCGAAAATCCTTGTTCAGGTTTCGAGCTTTTCTCACGACCAGCTTGTTCTTAACTGTTCAGCTTTGTCACCCATCACAAAGCAACTTTTTTTTTTTGTTCCTTTTACCAGCTCCAGAACCAGAGACATGCAAAGAGAAAAACGGCACCTGTTCACAGATCTGCAAAGATAATGAAAGGTATTGCTTCATGGGTGTGTGTTTCTTCAGATGTGTGACGGACTGGATGTGTACTAAGTACATCACCTGTAAATGCCATCCTGGGTACAAGTTGTTGAATGACAAACGAACATGCAAAGGTACACGATTTTACTCATGCTGTAGCTTTAATAAGTAGGCCATTTTCCAGTGTAAACCACTCGTATGTATTACGCCTTATAGTCTCTGGAAAACTCTTTACTCTTCTGTGTATTAAGTGAATAAAATCGTCCTTGCTTTACTGGCAAGGGTAGCATTTATACCCTGAGTTGATAAACCTAAGTTATTAACTAATAACTAAGCATCATTTGAGCACAATATTTGAGAGCATCAGTTATATTTACATTGATTTCGCTCAAAATGTAGATATCAATGAATGTAAACGATACAATGGCGGGTGCGATGACTTTTGTGAGAACACCGTCGGTAGCTACATATGCTCTTGTAAAAGTGGATACAAGCTTGAAAGAGACAGACACGGGTGTAGCGGTAAGTGAAATTGAGAAAGAGGACATCGAACCAAAAAATGTGAACTATTGTATAGGAAGAACCTGGGAAGTTATATATTTTTTCGTAACTGAGCGAAGATGATATACTACACTTGTGTTGCTAGCAGAATTATACTATACTGCGTGGTAATTGTAGGGACTCACCGTGGATAGTCACGGAAGCCATTTGTAATAAACTACTTGCCATACATCGGTTCATTGGCCAATGCATTCAACTAAGGCTGCAAAGTTTAATTTTTTGATCCTTTGAAATAAAAGTACTTTGCAGCTTGGTCTAATAAGCAGCAAATGTAACAGTATAGAGGCTTTGCACCATCACGTGATGGCAGCCATGACAGGAGGCAGGAACATTTGAATCTGTCTAATCTGATTTATATAAGAAAGAATTCAATTTCTCAGGGGAGGAAGACTCTATCTTTGTGCCTCCTGTCAAAGCCTCTACTTCAAGGAATGAAATGACACTTTTAATTAAAAAACGTTCTACGTTTCCCACGTCGAGCTTGTAAATTTATACTGAAAGATGACGTGGGAAACGTAGAAAGATATTTATCAAAAGTGTCATTTTATTATTTTAAAAAACCTTGCTTTGCTATCTCTATTTAAGGTTTTATGTGTGACCAGTGAGCCGATGTATGGCAAAGAGTGAAGGTAGCTTCACTGATGGTGTGTTCTCATTTATATTCAGACATCAATGAATGTGATATCAATGATGGAGGTTGTAACCAAATTTGCGAAAATAATCAAGGAAGTTATAAGTGCAAGTGTTGGACTGGTTACAAAATGTCTGCTGACAACCATACATGCATTGGTAAGCGGTAAACTCTTTAAAACTCTTATCACATAATTTGGGGTTGCCTTGGTTAGCGTTTACCCAGTTTCCCAGATATTTAATCTAGGATTTAGCAGGAAACCCAACAATAGTATTTAGGCATTCGTTAGGTAGATGTGATGTCATATATAGCCACCATGCTCAGATGACTGCTACAATTTTTGTCCTTACATCGTCGTAGGAATTAAGGGATGATGCAAGCGACTTATTTTATTCGTGGTTGTTGGGGAGGGGAGGGGAGAGCAGCTATGTTGGTGTGGTTTTCGAGTGATTTCATTAAAAAATCTAAATGTCCTTTTTGCATAATCTATTTTTATATGACTACCTACCTACATTGACCTATTCGAACGTCACAGAGTGAAGGCTCATAGCTTGCAGTCATTAACTGAATTTAATCTTTTTGAACAAAAGAAACTGAGAAAATATTGAATTTAAYGAACAGAATACTACGAAGAAGTAACATAACACATACAAAGATGCAATCTTATGTTTTCGCTTTGTTAGATATCGATGAGTGTAAAGTTGACAACGGAGGCTGCAGTCACACGTGCATTAACCTGGCAGGAGGACGCAGATGCGCATGCCCAGTAGGATTTCAAGTCGATGCCTTGGGAAAGAATTGCGTCGGTAAGACTAAGGTCAAGCGTCGAACCTCAGATGAGCCGAACCTAAAGACATTAAAGAAGACCGCCTTTTTATCCATTGTTTCAATTAGGTTTGGCTTAAGTGTCGTTTGACCTGAGCCTAAGAAGTTCATTAATATATATATAATGATACAGTTGTGATCAACATTATATCGTTATTAGAAAATAGAAAGCAAAAGCAATAATCAATTTCTCTTGAAACAATTAATATAATGAAATCACTAGTAAGAAGTATAGGAATAATTTGTATAGGAGTAGATTTCGTTTGACTGTAGAAAAAAACATGTAAAGATGTCACTGTAAAAAATCGATGTTCGTGACATACGATTGTCATAGTCATACAAAAATCTGCCCTTTGCTTTTACAAATTCGTTTTAAAAGTTGAGTTATGACATTCTTTATATCATCTGCAGATACCAATGAATGCTATTTGGCAAACGGTGGCTGCGAAACATTCTGTCATAACAACAATGGTAGCTACACGTGCAGTTGCCGCAGTGGCTTTGAGTTGTACGACAAGCTGAAATGTCGAGGTAGGAAAGACAAATTTGCCTCACTTAAAATCGTAATGTATTTAGGAATGGTCATGTAACTGACTTTGATCTGATGTATTTTTAGATATTGATGAGTGTGCACGTAAAACAGACGACTGTGATGATCAATCTACAACCTGCTTTAACTATCAGGGAAGCTATGAATGTCGTTGCAAGAAAGGATTCAAATACATACCCAATAACAAAAGACAGTGTGAACGTAAGTGGACTCGTTACTCCATGGATAAAGCAGTTGTCAGCGGTTGTCGGTATGAGAGTATGATAGCGACGACCATGGAAGGAAGTTTTCTCGCACCCTTGAACTTCGTGAACTCGTGTACATCATCAATACTATTCATCGATACTATTCAACTTTTTTTWAAATGTATTGCAGGCATGACATGCCCCCCATTAGTCGAGTCGCAAGGTACCTCGGTAAGTCCCAGTGAATGCTTGGTAAAAAATGGACGAAAAGTTGGAGACAAATGTACATTTAGCTGTAAGGCAGGTTACGTCCTGCTAGATCCAAGCAAGAATACCATGACGTGTTTGGATACTACCAGCTGGGATATGCCCATCATAAGCTGTAGACGTGAGTACCGTCAGTATTGTTATATAAAAGTTGTACAAATCAATCCAAGGCTTACAAAAAACACCGTGGCAAGCAGGCTTTCTTGGGCATGGAAGGAAAGCCATTGGCCTTAACTCTATCTTTACTTCCATATCCTTTATAGAAAACAATTGTCAAATCAGAATTGAGAAAGGGTGGGGATAGATCTCTCAATTTAGGTTTAGCTTGATGTTTGGGTTGTATCCATATTCATGCCTCTTCTCATGCGCAACAAACAAATATAGCGCTCTAGGAAATGACACCTTAAACCCTTCTCGAAATCATCTCGCTAACAGGAAAATACAAAAGAAGTGGCACAAATTCCATTGAGAAAAATTGTGTTTGCTTTTGAATATATTTTACTCTAAGTCTAGCTATACTCTACGTGTATCCAAACACAAAATGTTCAGGCTACTGTAAGTTCCACTCCCAACATAATTTTGAAAGGGATTTCATATTCATATATCATGCTGCTTGTAACATGAGTTGTAATTATCAAATTCAAGATTCATAAATTTCATTCAGAAATTAACTAAGCAAAATTATTAAGTTTTCAACAAACTCTTATCCTACCTGAGGAGAATTGCCGGACAATCCCCTGTGTCCATGTTAAAGACAAGTTCGTCTTGTGCAGCGTACTAAGTCTCTTGGCCAGAGAACTCAAAGGACTCAATATCTTTCGTATTTTAAATATATTTACAGCAATACGATGTCCAAGTCTTACCCCGCCAGCCAATGGATACGTCTATCCACCTTTCTGTAGCACAACTGGTAACACGTTTGGACAATCTTGCTATTATCGGTGCAACAAAGGCTATTCCCTGAAAAATGGTCAGAATCCTAAGAGGGATTGTACAAACAGTGGTGCTTGGGACATCAGCACCCCAGCGACTTGTGCCAAAGGTTAGTAAAATTAGGTACCACACTTTGATATTCCCTACTTATTAAGTGATAAAAAAAGGCCTTGAACATTGTTTTGAGGAGGAAAGCCAGTTGTATTTTTGTCTATTTTACCTAGGTCCCCGAGAAATGAAAAGGATTAGCCATCTCAAGATAGCAACGCCTTTCACCTAACCCATAGACATCGGAAAAAAATTATTTTTCAATAACGGGAAAGCGCTGATGGTGTAACTGTGAGAGAGCTCGCCTCCGTGCGACTTGTGTTCAATAGACCCTTTCACGGATCCCGTTACTCAACCTCAGCCTCGTCAGCGTGTAATATATTCTTTAGAAATTGCCTACAACCTGTGAAATTTCTAAGTGTTTCAATTGTTTGTTGATGTGTAAATTCCTTTCATTACTGCGGACTGTAGACAAATTCTAAAAAATAATTACACGCTGACGAGGCTGAGGTTGAGTTACGGGATCCGTGAAATGGCCTATTCCTATACTCAGTGTTGCATGTGAGTAGAGTTGTATGTTGGTTCTCTCCTGTGCTTCGAGGGTTTTTCTTGGGTTTTCTCCTTCTTTTGCAAAATTTGACTGTAAATTTCCATTGACGTTTAGTTGAAGAAGAGCCATTCTGTGGAAACACGGTTAAGGCCACTGTTATTATTAATTGTTTGACATCTTATTTCTTTCAGTATTTATTAAACCTTGGATCAACTGTCCACCTGACGTAGTCATGTCCCTGGACCCGAAAGGTAACCAAGCTGACGTCACAGCCTTGCTTTTAAAGCCAAAGAGCAATGTTGGAGATGTTAAAATGTTCCCAGAAAAATACCGAACGAGCCTTGTGTTCCCAGCTGGTACAACTACGCTGACCTACAAAGCTACCAACAAAAATGGTGATGTTGCACAGTGCACTACAGATGTCATCATTGAAGGTATATGCTTCATAGCTCATCCCTCAAAAACGTATTCTGCACATCCATAAAATACGGTTTGCTAAAATGAAGTAAAATGAATAACTCGTAATAAGTACGAGAACGATGCGAGGTACTGGCATGGAACTATGACAAAAAGTAATGGCTAAGTTAAATTTCACTAAAGTAAAAGCCATCCTAGACTATGTTCGTTCAAACAAAACCTAGTTCGTATGGACCGAAAAGGCCAACTAACTTTTGTAGCAATTTGATGTCTCTAAGAAACGTTTTGTAACTACTCTATGTGCACATTTATTTGGTAAAATGACTCCCCTATTGAGCTATGTTTAGCGACAAGAATCTTATAACGGTTGCCTTTTTTTTGCTAACTTCAAGTTTAAACTTACATTGAATGTGGAATGTGTCTTAGCTGCTTTCTTATTTAGATTATAATGTCCATTTTAGTACATGTACTGTACATTACCAAACGGCATGATTATTAACCAATTACATTGTGTCCATCTTCAGACAAGACACCTCCGCGTGTTGTGTACTGCCCTAACAACATCTACGAGAGCTCCCCCGGAATAGATAAAGTGATCATATGGCGCGATCCTGAATTTGCAGACAACGTCAAAGTCACAAGTATGAATCGACGACGATAGTTATCTTATTATTTTAAACTATGTATTACTATAAGAACTTTCACGTGGCGATGCGTTCCTTAACAGTGATAAAGTAGAATTTTGCAAAAGCATGGTTACGACACGGGATTTACGACCTTTTCTGAATGCGTTGCATTTGATACATGATATATTTCACGGTCATACGATGTGTGATGTTTTTATACAGTGCACAGTTTATGCTTTATAGTAAACGTTAATCCAATAATGAAGAGATGGAAAACACGTCCATTTGCTTTGCGTTCTCATAACGTGCGCGTGCGCAACCCAATTAGAAAGTAAGATTTATAACAGTTGTTCCTCGCCAGCCGATAGTGAGCAGCCGATAATAAGAACGTTGTAAGGATGAAGTCATTTATTGATTGCTCGCTTTAATTCTTCAATCAGGTGTCACCTCCGACAAGAAGCCCAATCAAAAGTTTGGCCTTGGGGAAACGTTGGTATTGTATGTTGCAAAAGACGCTGCAGGAAACACGGCTCAATGTAGCTTTTCAGTCACTGTTAAGAGTGAGTACTGATTAGAATCCAGCTTTGTTGACTGCGTTCCCCGAAAGGGAATATGGGTCAAATATTTTTGGTTAGCATTTTCCGAGCACGGACTGAATGCAATGTAGATTCAGCTGATGAACATTCCGCACCAGACAATGCAGGAAGCGTAACAAAGCACAAGGGTTATTCGGCTTTATCGACAATTGCTATATAGTAAAGTCTTTCTTCATTTTTTTTAGGATTGCAATGTCCCGTTGCTGAAGACCCTGACAATGGAAAACTAACGAACTGCATGAATTATGGCTCGACAAAATACTGTCGCATTACGTGTAACACAGGAAAACAAACCTTTATGTTCACATATGGAGCCACTTGTCAGCTACCTGAGGCTACATGGAATGAAATTCCAGCATGTGTCGGTAAGGAATGAGGGTCCCCCCTACGCTTACAAGTATTTTTGTCCAATAACAACTTATTCCTATAATTCTTATTCCAACATGTGTCGGTAAGGAATAAGGGTCACCCTACTTTTACAAGTATCTTTTTATCCAATGATAACTCATAACTATAATTCTCAGTTAATACAGCAGGTATTTTTGTCCGGCAGTGACAACTTATTTCTATAATTTCATTCAAGCATATTTTATCTTGAATCAATTTTTATTATTCAACACTTTAATTGCTACAAATTTCAATGAAGTAACTGCTTTTGTCCAGACGTAGCCATAGAAATCATAATCATAAAGATATAGTCCACTTACAGGAAATAAGTAAGGTCGAAGTTTTAAAAAAGAACTTCTCAAATGAAGATTTATTTTCTCATGTTATTTCAGATGCAACAAGAATTAACGCTGGTGATTCATGTCCTTCTGGCCAGATACAGCAGAAGAGTTTAACTGGTTATCCGAACTTCATTAAATATTGTGGTATGTGGAACCTGCATTCATTTCTATATGATTACATAACAAATCTAGCCATCAACTGTTTACGCACTGTTGTAGTTTTGTAATTTGAAATCCTTCTTCCTGATATGATGTGGCAATTTAACGTCTCCCTGAGGTGTGACATCCTTCTCCCTGATGTGTGACATCCTTCTCCCTGAGGTGTGATATCCTTCTCCCTGAGGTGTGTCATCCTTCTCCCTGAGGTGTGGCATCCTTCTCCCTAAGGTGTGGCATCCTTCTCCCTGACGTGTGATATCCTTCTCCCTAAGGTGTGTCATCCTTCTCCCTGAGGTGTGTCATCCTTCTCCCTCAGGTGTG